GGATGCTGCTCTGATACCAGGGACTAAGTTGGATAAGGGCTTTTCCATGTGTTTGCAGTTTCCTGTGTTTTCCCTGGAAAGGCAGGCTCAAATGTCCCCTTCTCCTGGACATCCAAACATTTCTGTAGTAGTTGTCATGCCAGCCCCTTCCCTGGACTCTCCAAAAAGGGTCAATAATTCTACAGCCAAGTTGTCCTCCACTTTGCTTCTCCAGCCCCTCTCCCCCTGCTAGAAAGAGTTCAGGCTCCTCCTAAGGACATCTGCTTATCCTATAGCCGTGCACTCTTTCCCATCTGCAGTTTAGCATATACATTCTGACCTCTCTGTTCTCCAGACTGCCCTGCATATTCAAAGCCAAGCACTTGGAAATAAAATAAATGAGCAATACAACATAAACCCTTTCTCCTTCTGAAGTGTTTCACTCTTCCAATAAAAGAAAAGAAATAGCATGGCTTGCAAGACTATTGTCTCTGCTATGTGTTTAAAAACCATTCAGACATTCAATTGACTATTTTAGAATGCATCCACACTCCCCTGAGGCATTAAAATGTCACTACCTCACAGTGAAGAGCCACAGGACATCAAAACACATAGGAATAAAAAACCTCAATTAGTATTTTAAAATGTGTCCCCTACTTGTAATTGTTAGCACACTCTATCAGTTTGCATCACCAGAAACCCAGACCAGAAAGTGTAAATGGAAAGTAAGTTACAATCAAAGATTCCATAGAACAATCTTTCCTGCTGTGAAGAAACACATCGTTATGAAAGCAAAAGGGTTCTCATAATTTCAGACAAAAATCAATTCAATGGGACTTTAGCTTTATTTTAAAACTTTTTTTTTGACTCTCAAAATAGAGAAAAAATTCTTAAACAATCATGTTGTTTCAAAATGTTACCTACAAAGGAACAAAAATCAAGCTGGCTTCAGACTTCTCTGCAACACTAAGTTTCAGAAAGCAGTGAACAATTCCTATCGAGGTTTGAAGGAAAAACAGGTATTACCTGAAAATGTTATACCTACCCAGTTCTGAGCTGGAGGTATGGATTTGGGGGTCATTAGCATAAAGGGAAGTATTGTTTTCTTGAATGACTAAGCTCATACAAAAAAAGATTTTAAAGTGAGAAGCCCAGGTGCTCTGAGAGATAACTAAGCAATGCCAATATTGAAGGGACACACAAAAGACAGCGGTGGAGAGAGACAGCGGTCAAGAGAATGAGAGGGTGCTTGCCATGGAAGTCAAGAGAGCAGAGAGGAGTGTTTCCACACAAGGAACCTGAAATATCCTGGGTTGAACAGAGCCAAGAAGTAAAGTAAGATAGGGCTGAACACTGCCTGCTGAATGTGATGACAAAGAAATCACCAGTAATAGACTTCATTATACAATTGGTAAAACTAATCAATTAAAAATTTAAAGATATCTTATGTATAATTTTGTAAATCTGATAGATTATTACCATTTATTCCCAGTAACTGAAATGAATTGCCCCACAACATTCAGAGGACAAGAAATGCCACATCCATTCCTTTTATTTTTTCAAATTGTGACACTTCATACATGGTACACAGATACAATATTACGCATATAAAGAATAATATAATATGTATGTACAGCTTAAGAAGAATGATAAAATTAAAAGCTATAATCCAGGTTAAGAAAAAAAAAACATTACCAGGAATGTAAAAGTCCCCCATGTGCCCCTTACTATCCCATAGCTCTTTGTCCCCAACAATAAGTAACCAAAAGCTGAATTTTGAGATAATCACTCCTTTTTTTCTAGATGACTATATATGTGTGTGTGTCTAACAAAATATTGTTCATGTCACTTAATTTAAACCTCTAATAAATACATGGAATGTATTCAGCTGCAACTTGTCTTTTTTGTTTAACATTATGCTTTTGAGATTCTTTCACGTTGATGCACAGAGTTGTAGTCCATTCATTTTCAGTGCTGTATAGTATTCCATTCTATGAATGGTATACATCACAATTTATTTATCTGTTATATCATTGATGAACACTTGGTTTGTTTCCCATGATTGTGTTCTTGTGAACAATGCAACAAGCAGTATCCTTACACATGTCTCCTGGATGGAGCCCCACACAGCCTAGGCTCTCCTTCTGTACATGTATCCGATACATCTGCCCATTCGTGTCCGATGTCTCATTTACTGGCATCCAAGATGGCTGCTGGAAGACTACAATAACAATGTATGCAGATTCTCTGAATTAAAACTTCGTCATTATTTTGAAATATTTGATATAGAAAGATTGGCTTATATTAGCCAATCTTTGCCCATTAACAGCATCACAGAAATTTCAACATAACATTTGTCAAGGGAGAAGAAGAGCTGCTAGATTCTATAAATATAATGTCAACTATTAACTTCTGAATGTTTAAAAGGTGTTAACTTTTGCATTACTTGCTTGTGTGAACAAATTTCTTGTCAACGATGACCATCCACAATTTAAAGAGACCATTATTAAAAACTGTTGAATATAAATTATGCATAGCCATTTCAAGCAAAAAAAGAATCTGATGTAAAAAATGTTATGCTCTAGGAAATGAGTTAAAGTTTCTAATTTTTTTTAAAAAGGAAATCATTTCATTTGAACAATTGCAAAAATTCAATATCTTCCTTAACAACTTTTGTAGTAAGTACCCAGCCTTTGAGATGGCACCCAATGATTCTCATTTCATGGTATGCATGCCCTTGTGTAATTTTCTTTCACAATGAATAGGGTGGACCTCTGTAACTAATAGGATTATTATAAAATGACAGTATGTGACTTCCAAAGCTAGGTCATAGAGATATTGTGCTTCTGTCTTGCTCTCTGTTAAGTCACTTGGTCTTGGGAAAGAAAGTCATAGTGTTATTTGAACGTTCAGGTAGCCAATGGAGAGTTCCGCCTGCCAACAGCCAGCACTGACTTATCCACCTTGTGAGCAAGCCATCCTGGAAGCGGCCCCCCAGCCCTAGTCAAGCCTTCAGATGATGTAGTCCCTGATGACATCCTGTCTGAAACATTATAAGAGATCCTGAGCCAGAATCACCCAGGTAAACTGCTCCTAAAGTTCTGACCCACTATAAACCATATGAGATAAATGTTTATTGCTATTTTAAGTAGCTAACTTTGGAAGTAATTTGTTACACAGCAATAAATAATATACCTTTGTACTTTTTTCCCATAATTAAGCAATAATTATTGTATAATAATTGTTTATAATTATCATCAATAATTGTGTATAATAATTGTTTATAATGACTGTCAATTGTTTTCAATAAGTCCCATATGGATGCCCCCACCCCACCCCAAGAAGGAGATTATGGTGTGATGTTGGAAGGAAAAAAGCAAGAGGTAGGACTGCCAGTGTTCAGAGGCCTTTACTCAGACATCTTCGTCGTCTTCATTGGCTCCTGTGTTTCTATTTTTGTGTAAATTAGAGCAAAGGAACAAAGAAAATTAAGGGCAAAACAGGCCATTGTGGAGGTGTTAGAAACTTTATTTGCAGGGTGTGCAGGAACTTAAAGGCCCTAAATTCCCTCTATATATTGTACAAAACATGAGCAGGGTCTATGTGTTTGAGGTCCTAAGCATTAAAATGGCAACGATGCCTTCCTACATGCAAAGAAAAACCTCTTAAAAAGTGAATATGTAAGATGCAACCAACTTTGCATTGACAAATGATCAAATCCATCTTAAAAATTGTTTTAGTGCTTCTGCTTTGTCCCTTTACTTGTAGTTGGTCTGCTGACTGTTTAATCTAGCAATGATAAAACAATTTACAAACATAAGAATTCATTTTCTAACATGGACATTTTCATCATAGCCCCTCTCATTCCCCAGTTATTGTAAAATCAGTCATGTTTATATTCCAGCTACTAGTTTTTTCTGAGTGGCTATTGTTACCTGAGCTGTCTTTGACAAGCGCTTATGCTGTTAATATTGCTCTGAAGACCATATTACATGTTATTTTTCACCCAGAAATTCTGAAGTCTCTGGTTGGTGATTAAAAGCAGGGTGACAGGGCAGAAGGGAGCTCCTTTCAGACCTGCAGGCCTCAGGCTGCTCAGGTTGCCCCTTTTGTTGTCCCATTCACACCTTACATGCATGTAAAGGGCCAAGCTATCTACATCCTCATCGTGGAGAAAGACTCAGTGGGTGACAAATGGTCATTTCTGAGGTCAGGAAAGGTGCTTCATTTTAGTCCCTTTTGAAGACAATGTCCAGACCTCTGGGCAGTATGGGCAGGCTCTGAATGTCCAACATGTTACTACTGCTTTGCTAAGAGTTGATGTGGCCATATACACGGAACTCCAAATGAGCTCAGAGTTTGAGTCCACACACTTGAGACAAAGACAAAAGTAGAAACTAAGAATGCATTGCTTTTGTACTTTATATTAAAATACTGAAGCCGAGCTGTTCAATATGATAGCTTCTGATAGAAATTAAAATTAAATTTAAAAATTCAGTTCCTCAGTCCTACCAGTACATTTCAAATGTTAAAAAGCCACATAAGCACTGTTTTAAAGTATTCGTCATCAAGAAATAAAAACGTCGAATTCCCTTATATCTATTTTATGATTTCATATTGTTTTAAAGTTTGAATTACACATTTGGAAAATAAGTGGGAGAGCTATAATATTTTCAGTCCCTGGAGACCTGTGAAGAATTTAATCTGACCCTAGCCATCAGGATCCTTAACAGCATTTATATCCTTGACCTCCCCTCTACGCACCCCACAATAAAACATTGACCAAGACAATCACCCTGAGCATCTCCAGTCCAAGAGACCATTCACTAAACCTGCGCGTCGGCTGGTGTCTTAGCAACAGCCACGCGATACCACCCCTTCCCCTGCCATCCCTCTCCTACCTTATTAGACCGCAAGGGGAGGGGCCAGGAGTCCTGTACCCAATAGGAGGGGAGCAGAGGAGGGAGTCCTGACCGCGTCCCCGTTGCTAGGGAAACCGCTGCAGCCTGAGTTTGCGCGGGATGCCGCGCGCCGAGGAGCTGGCTGTGCTGGCTGAAGAGAACCCGGACCAGGAACCCGGCGGGGACCCGCGCCTGCGACTTCTGGGAGCCTACGTGACCCAGAGCCTGCGGCCAGCTGCGGGCTCCTGGGAGCGCTGCGCGGGCACGGCCGAGGCAGAGCAGCAGTTCCACGCCTTCCTGGGCCACGATGCTGCGGAGGGGCCGAGGCCGCTGCTGGTGGTGCGGCCCGGGCCCGCGGGCCTGGCGTTGTGGTCGGGGCTGGACGTGGATCCCGACTTCAACCCTCCTCGCGCTAAGGGGCTTTTTTTCCTGCGCACCAGGTCCGAGCCGCCCGGGCCTAATAGCCTCCGCGGTGCGGTGCTTTGCGGGGACGTGCCCGCTGCGCCTCTGGAGCACCTGGCCGCGTTGTTCTCCAAGGTGAGGGTGGGTAGGTGACCCTGCGCTGGCTGCAGCCCCGGAGGGGGAGGGGCGGGCCTACGGGGCGGAGGCGGGGCCATCGGGAAGGGGCGGGGCCATAGGAGAGCCCAGTGTCCTAGCGGAGTTTGATTCCTATGAAAAGGGGATAGGTGGGGGCGGAACTGGACGGAAAATAGGACACGGGGGTGGACACCTCAGAGGCTAGCTGGGGAAATCTAACTAAGGGCCCGGTCAGAGTGGGACTGTGAGAGGTCTAGGACTTGGTAAGGTTCAAGCAAGAGTAAGGGGAGTCCAGAGTCTTAAGAGTTTCTGGGGCCTGACCTCTTTTTAAGGCTATGTTATCTTAATCTCTTCCAAGTTGCACTGGGGAAGACTGGAAGTGGTGAACAAAAGGGCATTTCTGTTGGGCCACTGAGGCTATAAACAGTGTTTGCTTCTGCGGAAGGGCTAAAAGGGGTAGATGATTTGGTTTTGATTTTCATGTCATTCATCCCACAACCATGAACCAAAGATCAGACCTGTGCTCTGATAAATTGGGGCATCCACTGGGAAATGTCCAACAGGCACTGGGAGGGGCCTGCCTGGCGCTCAGGGAGGAGGGTCTCCAGAGGTGTGGATTTTACAGTGCTTTGGTGGCCCCACAGCAGAGCCGAGAGAGCCAGAGATTTATGAGGGGTTATTCAGGAGAGGTTGCTGGGACACTTAGACCTTTCTGGAATGGTAGTACACTGCCCTGCAAGTTGAATGTGTGTGCTTCTTGGTGTTTGGTGTCCTGGATCTTGCAGATTATGAAATAGTATTTACAGAGTACTAGCTAAATGATGTTTCATGTGACAGGTGCTATGGGGAATATCAAAGAAATACAGACAAGATCTCATCCATGAAATTAATCATAGACTTAAAAAACTTAAAACTAGTCTGACTGGGGTAAAGTCAAATTGGCCCCAGTGCTGGACTTTGGTCCTGGAGGCTCTCCACTAAGTCAAGTGTTAGCCCCTTTGGTTACTTTATTAGGAGGCAGTGGGAGGAAAGAATTTCTGGTAAGGGTCTGGGATGACACAAGGTCTCAGGGGGCCCATGAAAGCTAGGTTTCTCATTAGATATGAAAGTAATTCAGTATTTTAACAACCAGAATGGTTTTGCTGCTCTGCACTGTCTGAACAACATTCCTGCAGAAGTCCAAGCTTGGATCAAATCCCCTTGTGAATGATGGGGAGATACTTGTGTGTTGTGAGAGCCATGCTTATCCTCAAGTGTTGAACTGGCTCCTGAGCAAAAGAAAAGAATTAGGAAAAATAGAGAGCAAGGTAACTTTCAGGAATGGGGAGCAGATTGAACAAAGATTCCAAGATGGAACTATACCTAATGTATGTGGGAGACAGCAGTGCCATCTCAGTTTTGTGTCACAGCCAAAGAAATGTAGTCCAGGAAACAAAAGTAATTCTAAAGTAATCCAAACCCTCAAATGTTTGAGGATTTTGACTGGTGCCTTGAAAAGAGATTGGAAATAAACTAAATGTTCATCACTAGGCCGCTAGGTGAATGAAGTATAAGATCCATCTATAACTAAAGGGAATGATTGATGTGAAACAGTCCTTAAGATAAACATGTAAAATAAAGAGATAAAGATAAGATAAAATTCACTCTCCCAACATTTTCCAAGTGAAGAGTACAATTTGAGGGAGGCCCCCCCAAAAGAGAATTATCTTCTAGAGGGTGAGTGCCTTGCAGTACAGGCTTCCCCTGTTAGGTAAGAGTTCCAGGAATCCATCTGCATCAGTGCACCAGCTGGCATTGTTGTGAGAGGCTGTTCGGCTTCAGTGAATTTTTTTGAAAACTCAACACATTTACCCATTTCACCTGGGTGATTTATAAGGTCACCTGCTCATGCTGGCCAAAAACAGCATGACCCCTGTGCCCCACCCTCCCTATTTACCTGATCTTGCCCCAAGTGACTTTTTTTTGTTTCCCTGGATAAAAGAAGTCCTCATTGGGAAATGTTTTGTCAATGTGGAAGAGGTAAAACAAAAAAATGGCAGAAACGCTAAAAGGCATCACAATTGATGAGTTCAGAAACTGTTTTGAGCAGTGGAAAAAAAGTGTCTTGATAGGTGTATTACATCAATTGGAGACTACTTTGAAGGTGACTGCAGTTTAAACATGTAAGAATAAGTACATGATTTTTAATAAATAAATTCTAGGTTTTTTGGGTCCCCCCTCATATTGTCAATCCCATGCAATAACTGTGCAACAAATCCTTGGACCCCACCCCCCTTTTGCATGAGTGAAACTATACCCACTAAACAATTATTTGCCTCTTCCTCCCTCCTGCCCCTGGCAACCACCATTCTACTTTGTCTCTATGAACTTGATCACTTCAGACATCTCATGTAAGTGGAATCATGTAGTATGTGTCTTTCTGTGACCAGGTACTTCACTTCACATAATGTCCTCAAGGTTCATCCATATTGTAGCATATGACAGAATTTCCTCCCTTTTTAAGGCTGAAATATATATATGTGGTGTGTGTGTGTACATACACACATACCACATTTTCTTTTTCAATTCATCTATGGGTGGACATTTAGGGTTTTTTTTTTTACCTCTTGGCTATTGTGGATAATGCTGCAATTTAAGATAATTTTTAAAGGTTCAGAATTTTGTGAATTGTATGTTACCATTTCTGATAAAAAGAAAGGAGAGAGGGAGATAAAAAGAGTAGAGGAAGGAGAAGGGAGGTAAGGAGAATAAGGGAGAGAAGCAGGGGGGAAGAAGGAGGGAGAGAAGGAAGGAAGGCAGGGAGGGAGGGAGGGAGGGAGGGAGGCAGAAGGGAGGGAGGATATTCACTGACAGTGATCCACAAGGGGAACTGGGTGTCTGAGGTACCAGGGTAGGACTTTCCACTGTAACAGCTTTTATGCTTCTAAAATTTACACCATGTAAATGTGTTATCTATTGAAAAACCTAAATAAAATTATTTTAAAAATACATCCAAGCCTTTACTTTCATTTCTCAAAACCTCTAACAGTGATTCTTAAGCTGTTCAACCACTTTTCCCCCATCTTCTTTCATATACCCTGGAGGTGATCCAGTGCCCCCTGTAAACTCTGCTTACCCTCAACCCAGAAGCCCGTCCCTCCCCTTCTGTCTTCTCTCTTCTCTGTACTGTGCAGCTCAATCCCCTTGTCCTTCGACCTCTTCACTCAGCATCACGAAATCAAAAAAATCCCACCTGGCTGAGAGAAGTATTCCTCTGCTTTCTGTGGGGGTAGGTGGGGGAGGGTGCATCAAGTATGAGGTTGACCAAAGCAGGAAGTTCTCTCCCAGTCACTTTATTCACTGCTGTCAGCTTATCTGTCCTAGAGCTCTGAAACTTGAATGCTCTTTTGAAGTCCTGTGTTTTGTAGAGGGAGCCTGGGATTTGGGGTGTGACAGAGCTGGGTTCAAACGCTGGTTCTGTCACAAGCAAAACTGAAACAGACTCATAGATACTGAGAACAGACTAATGGTTGCCAGAGGGGTGAAAAAGCTGATGGGGTTAAGAAGCACAAACTGGCGGTTACAAAATAGTCGTGGAGATGTAAGGTACAGCATAGAGAATATAATCAATAGTATTGTAATACTATGTATGGTGCTGGGTGGGGACCGTAGATATCAGGGGGGGGTCACTCTGTAAAGTATAGGGTTGTCTAACCACTATGCCATACACCTGAAACTAATACAAAGTTATAGTGAGTGTAAACTGTAATTGAAAAATAAAATTTAAAAAGAGAAAAGAGGACTAAGTTTAAAAATAGGGTAAGTAGTACTGGGAATATGTCATAATAATATGCTCTATTATCCAGCTAAATGCTTTTTCTCTGAACATAATTTTCTGTTTGGGTGTTTCAATCTGAAAGGATATAGCTAAATAGAAGGACTAAATAACAACAAATACTGATATATTAAAAAATAAACAACTGGTTCTATCAAATTCATCAGCATGATGTGAGCAGAGGTGAGCTAACGCTCACCTCTGTCAGGGCCAAACTACCCTGTAGGGGTCTCATGAAACTTAGTAGTAATATGTTAAGACAGCTGGAACAGAGTTATGTTATAGGTAATCCATAAATGACAGGAATTACTGTCACTCTGCATCCCACTTAAAAGTCTTCTCACTCTCCTGACCTGTCCTTGTCTCTTTGCTCTGCCCAAGTCCATTTCTCCCTGGGGTGCTGAGCTGCATGGCCAAAGTCTCTTCTCTCAGCTTCACTCTGTGATGTTCTTTCTTAGTTTAAAAAAATGGAGACAATGAAATTTCTACAAACTCTTATACCTACCCCATATGCCGCTATCTGTAGGCACGTCCACTGCCATTCCTTCCGTTGCTGAGATGGACTGTCTGCTGTCATCCAATGCCAGCCTTAACACCAAAACTGCTACTTGTGCTCTGAATCCTCCCATTCTCATCTTGAGGAGGTAGCACCAGCAATTTTCCCCTCTCTTTTACATTCTTATTTTTTCACTCTCCACTAGATAAATCCCATCAAACAAAATACTCATTCCTCGCACCATCTATCATCCCATCTGTATGGTTCCTTTACAGCAAACTCTAGCCTATGTGTCTGTCCCTGCTGGGTCCCATACCTTTCCTGTTTTATCTTATACTCATTTGTCAGGTGTTTACCCTCATACTGCATGGGAGGGAACTTAGGGAACCTCTGCGTGTCACTGCCCACCTCCACTCTCAGTGTTTCCCCTGTGTGCCTGTGAGTGAGCAGGATTCAGCCCAGCTCCTGACGAGCTTCTCCTTCTAGAAGAACTTTCTTCACTTGGCTTCCAGGACACTAGTCTTCTGGTTTCTCCCTGTCCCCCTGGCCATTCCTTCTTAGTTTTCATAGGAGATACCACCTCTTCTTTCAACTTCTTAACATGGGAGGGCCCTAGAGCTCATTCCTTAGACATCTTTTCTGCTTAATTCCTTTGGGGTGCCCATTCGGTTTTAGAGTTTTACAAACCATCTGTACCTGGCACCTCCCAACTTTGTCATTTCCAGCCTTCTCTGCTCCTCTGAACTCCTAAATGCCACAGCCAGCTGACTGCTCAGTTTCCCCAGTTAGAAGTCCAACAGATATATAAAATTCTAATGTGTCCGAAAGCATACTCCTGAACATCCCTCGAGAACTGACTCCACTCTTCTCTTCCCACATCTAATGGCAGCTCCATTCTTCCTGTTGCATAAGTCTCAAAACTTGAAGTCATCCTGATGCCTGTTTTTTTTTCTCACAATCCCACAACTAATCCATTAAAAAATCACATAAGCTGAGCCTTCCACATTTATGTAGAATCAGACCATTTCTTACTGTCTCCCCTAATCCCTCCTGTGCCAGCCACTGTCTTCTGTATAATAGTAATAACTGGCTATCTGATCTTTTTCCACGTTTCCCCCTACAGTCTGTGCTCAACGCAGAAGCTGGAATGATCCTACCATATCACTCCCTTGCTCAAAACCCTTCAATGATTTCCATTGCTCTGAGAGTAAAAGTCAAAATTCTATAGGCAGGGTTGCATGTAATTTGACTCCCTTCACTCACCCCTACTCTTGTTACCCTGTTTTGGCTTTGCTGCCCTCTACACCGCTCCTTGCCCATACTAAGCATGCTCCCACCTTAGGGCCTTTCCATTGTCTGTTCCTTCTAACCACAATACATACACTTCCCTTAACAATGTATACGGCACTTTCCCAGTCCTCCCCAGTCTTCGTTCAAATGTCACCTCAGTGATGCCTGCACCAATCACTCCATTCACAATTGCAAACCCTCCTCCCCACATTTTAGATTCTCCTCATCTGCTCTTCCCCCCTCCATAGCTCTTGTTCACTGACTCTTTCTCCACTAGAATATAAACTTTATGAGGTCAGTAATCTTTGTATGTGTTGTTCACCAGTGTACCTTCCCAGCACCTAGAATAGTACTAGCATATAGTAGATGTTCCATAAATATTCACTAAATAAGGGAATGAGTGAATTTTAATTTCATAGAGTTCACATTCATTATCTTCCTATCACTGAAAGCCCTCCAAAGTCCAATCCAAACCCACCTACCCTTTTTCTTCAGACAGCAAATATTCTTCTATGAACATCTATTGAGTGCTTCCTATATGCCAGATCCAAGGGAGGACTGCCCATATGTAAACAACAATAAGATCAGTACCTCCCTTTGAGATCTTAGGAAAATTCTTTTTTATACGCTCTCCCCCTCTTGTTTATCATTTCTGCCCTAGGTCCAAAGGGTCCTTTCCTAACATGAATGTGAGTTGAGCTCAACTTGTGACATTTTATTTCTTGGAACTCTCGATTCACCTGTAATTGTAAGTTCTCAGTTCAGTGATTATTTTCAGGCTGACCAGGCAGGGATCACCCTCTTGAATTTTACATGTTAGATCTATTTTGTAGCCACACAGACTTATTAGTCATATATAGAGCCCAACCAACCATATAAATGCATATTTCCTTTTCATTATTTATTTAACAGTCCCTTATCACATTACTGGATTTTTTCTTTTTCTTTATAGTGCTCCCTTTATATTAGTTGTGAGCATTTAACAGGCAGTTTCCTAGTGAGTTGTATTAATTATAACTTTTTAAGTTGCTAGTGATAGAAACTCAATTTGAACTAGCTCAAAAAGTTCAAGGGCAGGAGCTTGAAGGATGTCATAGGCCTTGGCCTTGCCCCCGCCCCACCTGTAAAATCCCTCTTCTCCCTATTGGCTCCATGTGGGAGCAAGATTGCCACTAGTAGCTCCACACTCATAAGCAAGAGAAGGCTTCTCCAGAAATTCATATAAGAGACTTTGGTCTGACTCACTGGTTCAGATTTATTCATAATGTTCACCTCTGGATCTGGAGATGGGTACTGAAGGAAGAGGAACCATGTTGGGTGTCCCAAACTAACTAATGTTCACCCTACAGAGAGCTGCAAGATGTTCAACTTTGCTTTACATTTTTTAGATGCTGCATCACACTCCCTGGAGACAGAGGGTCATCTTCACCTTCACTTGTGCTATGTTTTGCCTCTGGCCTTTGTATATGTTTTAATCACCTCTTATTCACCCTGTTGATTAGGGAGGCACTCCTGCCCTAGGGTTAATGGGCTGGCTAACTACAGAACACAGGTCAAATGAGACTGACAGCAATTGAATAGTCACATATACTCACAACCCAAAGGAGGAGGACACCATGCCACACAGGGCCACCTGGGGCTGCCCTCTGGGCCACCTGGGAACAGAGTGAAAAACCAGGAGCTGTGGGAGGCAAGCTTTGTAGTATTAAGCGTGTGTGGTTTCCACTGGATCTTGTGGGAGAATGAAATTGACTTGTTTGAATAACTCCACTGGCTGGCAGGGACCTGAAGCCTACTCCTCTAGGATAAGCAGCAACTATGCCTCTTCTTGATAAGGAGGACTGTTTGACCAATGGACCTTATGTGTAGGAGCTAAGAGGGAAGGAAGCTTGTGATAGGCTTTCCAAGGCTCTCTTGATTTTATCAGATGTCAAAGCACAACAAAATGCTACTTTTTAATATCAGGCCTTACAGCATAGTGACTTGCAAAAGGTTGTGCATAGTTTTCTGGGCCTTTCTCAGAGTAGTCTTTCTGTAAGTTCTCAGAAGTAGAACATCTGCTTTTCTTCCCTGTGCACCTTTCTTCCAGGTTGTTATCCCCATCTTGGCCAACAAGAAGAATCACCTAGACTGGCCCCCTGTGGTATGTCAAGATGTCCAGCAGCATGCCCACAGCCTCCAGTGTGACCTCATGGTTGTCCTTGAGTACAGGAGGGGGAAGACTTTGTTGCCTCTTCCAGCAGGCTCAGAAAAGATGGCATTTTGGGATTCTGAAAGTGATACTGTGTAAGTACCACCAGCCTAGCCACATGGGTCTCTGTGATATGGGAGAAGTTGGTTTATCTGAGTGTTTTCCTTATGACTTTTCTGTTCCTGACTTTGCACATGTCCTTGTGCTGCACACAAGCCCACTTCTGCTGTTTGCCAACATCCTCGGACTGTATGTTTCGTGTTGATTGCTACCCTTGTCCCAGTCCCCCTGCCTGAAGTCTTTTAAGGCTACCACAGCATCATGGCCTCTTTTCCACCCAGAATTATGTCAGGGCGGAGAGCAGCCACACTGATTTCAGTGTTTTGCTTATCAGGACAGTGTCTCATGGTTGGCAAAAGCCCAGGTCCAGTCTGGGAGACAGCCATGCCACTTCCCAGCATTTACCCAGAACATAATGCCATAGAACTCATTCTGGTGGCTCTTGTTACAGTTCCAGACCCTCCTCCCCCAGCAGCTGGAGACTTTTTTCAGGTCCTGGGGATTTTTTTTCCAAATGGAAACAGATCTGGCTTTGTTAGAGCTTGAAGTCCACGCCTCCTGTGCCCAAGTAGGCATTAAAACCTGAGCCTCTTCTCCTTTAGGAATTATGTCTGCCATCAGCCTCTACTTACCATTCCAGCTACAAGATATCTTTGTCTGCGTCCCTCATAAAATGAGGTATTTTTATTTTTCTTTCAAGCCGGGCTAAATATCTAAATGATGTAGTTTGTTATATTCTACCCAGCATTTTTTTTTTTGGAGCAGGGAGCTCCTAACAAGATGCTTAGGTACAGGGGATTACTCAAACACAGAAAAGAATTTCATCTACTGGTTCAACAAAATAAAAATACTAGTGTCAGTTTCATTTACAACTCTTGTTGGTAGCACTAAGAAAGTCATTTTTTTTAATGTTTTAGAGTCCAACATTAAAATGTTTTGGGGGGGTCAACACAGCAACATGGACGGGTGGAGAACCATGGCAGAATCCACTATCTCTATCATTTCCTTGAGTGTCTGGAATAAAATGGGAAGGCTATGAGGCAAGGTCATGTAGAACCTAGTGCAGAGCTCTGGATCCCAGCTTTTACTCCAGACTCTGCCACATGCTGAAGGGTCACATATAAGCAGTCATTTAATCTCTCCCAGACTCCATTTTCTTCTCGCTTGTAAAATGTAGGTGGCCTTAGCACCTGCCTCTCACTCAGGTCCTTGTGAGACAGTATCTGTAAAGGTCTTAGGACAGCACTTAGCATATGATGGCACTTACTAAATGGTAGCTAACTATTATGACCAAGTTGGAGGAATTTGAGATTGGGGATGGACCAAAAGTCAAAAGGCAAGGCCTGCTGATATCCAAGATGCACTAGATGTGCACCTTTAAGGATAATCTGGGGGAAGGAGGTCATAATGAAAGCTGAAGTGGGCGACTTCCAAGTTAGATGACCTCCATCCAACAAGTTGGGCAAATGCACAAATGTCAACTGGCCGCAGGTGCCTGAGACTACCCAGCATCTCTATGTGTTCATGGCAACAGGCCATCTTCCTGCATGGGCTCAGACTGCCCTAATGCCTGGAGTTTCCCAATGCATTACTGTTATTGTTGTATGTTCAGGGCCCATGATTTGATCTGAAGAATAAGTAATGCGTGGGATGGCAATGTACTTTATAATGAGTTTTTGCTACTAGAAGTAATTTGCTACATATATCAATATAATTTGAAGCAATTTCCCAGTTAAATGGAAAAGTTATTTTAGTTTAATAAAAATATTCAATTTCACAATAAATAAATATAAATTACCATTTTCCTGTTCCTTTTATATTCTATCTAACATAACATTCAGTGTCTGTGTATATAATCATTACTGAGTTTATCACCCTTTGTTCAAACTTGGTAATTTCCCAAAAGGCTGGATCATATTTCAGGAAGGTGAGCATCTTCTCCCTTTAATGTAACATAATCGCTTGTGATTAAATTAAGCAAAGGTGGTTTCCTGGTATGAAAATATGAATGATAGACTCCCTTTCTTTGTCATTTGTGTCAAGTTCTTGGCGTAAACAATTTTTATTTAGAACTTAATGAAAAAGCAAATCAAAATATATTTTTCATTTTTAAGTCCTTCTAAAATATTCCTGGTTTGTTTGTTTATTAAAAAGATAGATGAGGTAGAATGCTTGGGAATTCCATTCTTTCCCAGAAAAGCAAGGACAGAGTGAAGTTAACATTGGTGTTCAGATCACTGGTGATTTGTTTTGGGGAGAAGGAAGTAACCAATTTCCTCTTGATGCAGAGGCCAGAACTAAGACCAACATGGGGAAATCACAGGAAGGTGGATGTGTTTCCATGTAGAGACACATTTTCTCCTACAGAGAGCCCACCTACTGAGGAATGCACTGCTTTGTCAAGTTGAGAGGCTACTGACATTATTGGGATTCAAACAAGGTCTGGGTGGATGTGCAAATGTTTCCTGTCTAGTATATATCTGCATTGACAGAAAGACTTCACAGAATTTGAAATTCTTAAACTAGGCTTCAGAATATTGGTGAACACTGCCTTGAGTAATTGTGTATGCATGCATGCATAAGCATTTTGTCTGGGGAGGATCTATACTTTGAATTAACTACTTATCAGTCTACTGTCCAACGAAAGTTAAGAATGACAGGACTAGCTCTGGCCAGCATCACTCAGTTGGTTGGAGTGTCACCCTATAACCAAAGGATTGGGGGTTCAATCCCCGGTCAGGGAACATACTTAGGTTATGGGTTCAATCCCTGGTCTAGGTGTGTATGGGAAGCAACCACTCAATGTTTCTCTCTCTTTTTTCCCCTCTCCCTTTCTCTCTCTCTAAAGCAATGAAAAAATGCCCCCAGGTATTGATTTTTTTTTTAATTTTTTCAAAGAATGCCTGGATTAGATGGAATTTCCCACCTATTCTTTTAAAAATTTGGGATTCGGTTTAGGGGGCACACAGAGTTAAGTTATTTCCAATGTTTCAAGAGATTTGTTGGGCCTTTCACAGCTTGGATTCCACAGATAAGTCTGTCATCTATGCCATTGAGTCTTCAGTGATCCAGTGGAGCCACCAAGTACAGCTGGTCCTCAAGAAAGAGTCTTCCCAGCCGCTCCTACAAGGGGAAAATCCCACCCCTAAGGTGGAGTTGGAATTCTGGAAGAGCAGGTACGCACATGCTCACTCAGACCTGGCAGCTGTCTTACAGAAGGTCATGGCCTGGGGGAGCCAGCCATGAGTCTGGTCCCACCTCCAGGCGTTTCTCACATCCTCTAGAGCAGACAGCTCAGGGCCATTTGGGTCCATGCAGTTTTCCTACACTCTGGGAGAGGCACCCTTTCGTAGGGTTCAGTGGTTGCCCCTCCTCCTTCCTGGGCTACAGTCAGTGTATCTTCTGACATTTCTTCAAAGGCTCTTTCAATTATATATAAAATTAATTAGTTCTCTTTTATATATTTTTCTTACTTGCCAACTCCCTTCTCATTTGACAGTCAAGGCTACACACACACATACACACACACACTTTTGGTAAGAAGCTGAAGAAAAAGAGTGTTTTGGCAGTAGGCTGCAGAAAAGCCTCTCCTCGGTCTCAGCTGGTCATCAGCAGCACTTGAAAGCCCATCAGCCTCTGTGTCCCAACTCCACAGACTTCCAGAAAGGCCTAATTATTGCTCCTGCTGATTCCACCTCTGGCTCCCCATTTCCTTGATCCTATTTATCATTTTGCTGATTAAGCTTTTACTCAAAAGGAGATAGATGTTTGAAGCAGATGTCCCTGTCCTTGCACTGAATGGAGAGCATCCATATCACATGACCAGGCATGCCTGTAGGGCTTTAGCCACCATTAGTGCTGCTGTACTGAGATGTCCCATCCTCTGCCTGGTTCTGACCGTTCTGCTGACCTACTGCGGGGTGCTGCTCTAACAGCCTCACTCTGACACCTCACTCACCCACCCCAAACCTTCCTGCAAGAGCTAATGACCTCCAGCTGCCAAGCCTTTGAGCCACCAGATGTTCACAGCAGTTTTCCCTCCTATTACCTCCTAGAGCTGCCCCTTGGAACCATGTCCCCAATGCAGGCTTTTGCCTTTGCTGTTCTGGGCACAGATGCCCCAGCTACTTGGGCTGGAGCCAGCCTGTGTGGAAGCCCCTGAGGCAGCCTCCTCTCTGTTTGCCAGGGGGGTTGGGGGGTAGGGGGGTTATCGCCATGTGACTGGTGTTCCCCGACATTCACCTGGACTCACCTCCTCCATGGTGTTACAGGTCTGAGGATCTGGAATACATTTACAATCAACTCAGAAAAATAAAGGTGAGGGGCCTGGCGGGGCTCCTGGACAAGCTTCAGAGCAGCTACTTCCCAACTTTCCAGGCAATGTTCAGAGATGTTGTAGCAGGTGAGGAGCAGCAAGTATTTTTGTGAATACGTTTATCTCAAATTTATAATTTATGGCTGAATTATCTTCTCTCTCTGATTTTAGCAGTTTTAAGTCCTTATAACCCTCCAACCCCACACAATCTAGCATGATAAGAATACCAAATCTAGAAGCAGGAGGGCAGCTATCCTGTGCTCTGTTTGCATTTCCACCACTTTGTAACCTAGGGAAAGTCCCCTAAGTCTCTGAGCTCTGGTGTATACCATGGTTGTGGTACACACACACTTCCCACCTACTTCCTTGGGCTGCTGTGATATAATATAGGTGGAAGTGGTTTACTGACTGTACCACACTGCACAAATGCATGTTTTTATCTCTCACTTCTGGAATTCAGGCCTCTTTGCCCCTGGCTCCTCTAGGTCTTTATTCCATTGCTAGCTCCATTCTGCTTTTTCCATTCCTACTGTCAGAAGGGACTGTAATTTCCTGGCCATCTGAGCACCAGGCAAGATCAGCCCTTGTCAAAATTGCAAAGCCAGCAAAGTCTATAATTAGAAGTAGTTAAGTTATTCCAGGGTTCCCTCTCCCCTCAACAGTGCACTTTGCTTCTTTCCTTTCTCTTTTCAGACCTCTACCTACCTCTGCAGGATTGTAGGTCAGAATGTGCTTTCAGAGGTATTTGCCATTTCACATGATTTACACTCAATCCAAGCAGTGATTTCCAGACATTTTTTTCTCTATCAGTACTCTGTCTCCAAAGACAATTTCCTATGTCAGTCCCACAACATACAACTAATAAAGATATATTTGCTCTGTCAAAGAGGGGAGTGTCCTGTGTCCCTAGCACATTGGTTGATTCTTTGTCCCACCTTTTTCTCCAAATGGTGGGGAGCTTGCAAACCACTCAGCTACAGGAATGAAAGTTGCAGTGGTGGAGTTTCTGACACAGGCTCCATAACAGAGAAGAACTTGCAGAAGTAGTTAGGCTTTGAGGTCCTTCTGGCCCTGAAGTCTTATCACAGAGTCTGCTCTGCCCGCACATAAAGCTGGGTTGGAACAAAGCGCTCCTTGAGGCCTTGGTTTATTGCTTCACTGAGAGATTTCATGTCCCAGAGGAATTGATTGTTGTTCCCAATTTGTAGTTCAATAAAAATGGTAATATGTATACCACCGTTGGTATGAGAGATTATTGTGGGGGATGTATATAGACAGGCATACTTAAAAATGTATAAAAGGGTACCTATTTTAGATAGATGATGCCAGTTTTCCATTGATGTTAGTGATTCAAAGTTCTTATTTTATATGATTTTATTTAAGTTAAAATGAAGGTCAGTTCAGAGAAAATTTAAGTAATACTATAGGTTATATGCAGACATGATAAGTATCTTAAGGGAGGTATGCACATGACTGTAATTTGGGACTCTGAAATTTAAAAAAAGTAGTAGAATTATGTTTGTGAGTTGATTATTAATAAATTAATAGACTATGATTATTTACACTATTATTTGTTATAAAAGATTTGGTTCCCTATGCCAGCTTTAAAGTTATTTGCAGTAGAGTATATAATGGCAATGAAAAGAAATTAGAAAAAAGCTGTTATACTAATACCAGATAAACACTACTGTAAAAATAAAAATCCTTGAAATATATAACTCCATTTGGATAATAGAAGAAAATAATTTTGATTAGAGGAACTGAGTATAGACCTTGTCAGAAATTTTGTTACAATCTTTGAAAAGTAAAAATATTTTAGGGGCATTTTATGTGCATTACTCTTATTAGTCATATGAAGGGTTTTCATTGACTTACTGAAGGTCTGAGGACAGGGAGAGGAAAATAAATATTCCTGGGTTAGTAGACCTGAATTGGAAAAGAGTGACAAATGAAGAAGGAGGTTAAAAATATGTAGTCAAATGTGTTGGAACAAGGTTGTCTGAAGTGGAATTGATTAGGAAATAAAGAACCTTGGAACAGGAAGCAACAGTATCCTGGAGGGAAAGAGCAGACTAATTAGGGAGTTATCTCTGGCCACTAGGGGCAGGATTGAAATAGTGCAGCGTGTTGGCTCAGCTAGGATTTTTGCAGGTGGAAGAGATGTCGAAGTCCACTGGTGCTCTGGAACGGACTTGAACTGGCTTGCAGTTTCTCAGGAGAGCCCACTGTATGCAAATCTTTTCAAATTGTCCTCCCCAACACTCACTGAAGTCAAGTTGGTAGCTTTAGACTAGACATGGTGGTAATATTGGTAATATTTACACAATAGAAATTGGCAGATGCTATGAATAAAGGATTTTGTCTCAGAAGAGCCTGTTGTTAAAGATTTCCCAAAAAACTACTGGGCAATCTTGTGCAACAGTCTTGTGCAACTGGCCTTTTATATTTACAGTTTGTAAAAGTTATGAGCCTAACCCTGTTCACCCCTTTTTCTTTATTTGCCTTGCGAGCCAAGGTGACTGCACCCTGGACTGAATGAGGCTGTCCTCAAACATTGTGCTCATAAAATCAGTGGAGTGCTTATTTGATTATGATTAAAGAAAGTTTTGCTTAAAAAAAACTATCATAAAGAGAAAGCTGCTCTGGCCTCTGGGCTCAGCTTCTTTTCTCATGACACCATGAAAGCTAAGCTCATGCTCATTAGAATGGCTGCTGAATTCTGACATGCCCCTCCCCACACAATGGTTTGCTGCTCCCAGCTCCCTCACTTTAAGATTCACTGCTCTAATCAATTTATCATGATATTTGACTTTCAAAAATTTGATTCGCATTCTACTTTCCACAACTCCATTTGGGGTATAAAGTACAAATGTTCACACCACAAACTCCTGCATATTGTGAGCCCCCAAACCATCAAGCCAGGGATTCAACATAATAACTTGGGGTAATCTTGCTTTTGCTCAGCAAGGCAGGACTGGCTGATGAACAGGAAGACCTTAGGCAAGTTGCTTAGGTCTTAAGTTCCTCACTTAGAAAGTAGAAGTAATGCCCTGGCTGGTGTAGCTCAGTGGATTGAGCGCGGACTGCGAGCCACACATCGCAGGTTCAATTCCCAGTCAGGTCACATGCCCAGGTTGCAGGCCATGGCCCCCAGCAACTGCACATTGATGTATTGATGTTTCTCTCTCTCTCTTTCTCTCTCTCTCTCTCTCTCTCCCCCCCCCCCGCCCTTCCCTCTCTAAAAATAAATAAATAAAATCTTTAAAAAAAAGAAAGTAGAAGTAATAGAGCCACTTTACAGGGTTTTCTATGAGACGGTATATATCTAATGGGTAGAACAATGCCTGGCATATTGGAACTGTTTTCTAAATAGTATATATTTTGAGCTTCCTTTAGGATAAACACAGAGCCTTATCCATATAATATAATGAAGGCTATCTGCTTTCATATGATAGGGCCTGATGTTTTACCCAGGAAAGAACTCATCTTTGTACACACTCCCTTGCTGTTCAGTTTACCAGTGGCCTTCTGCATTCCTTCTAACTTACCCTCAGTACCCCATGCTACTGGTTTTTCTACTTTCCCCTCTCTTTCACCATAAGATGATTGGTGAAAGGCACTTCCACTTCCTGGGCTGTGTCAAAGGAACTTGTAGGAGATTTTTCTGTCTTTTTTTGTCATCATCAGTCTTTGCTATTTCTCTGTTCCCTGTGACTTCTCCTCCATAAGAGCTCAATAAAATTCTTTATTAGCAAATATTCATCAGAGACATTACCCTTTATGGAACGCCCACTTTGGTCCAGCACTATGCTAGCTTTGTATGAAGAGTCTATTTGTACTACCTTCAGACCTTCACAGGAACTTATTTTTAGAGAGTGGGGAAAGGAAGGAGAGAGGGAGAGAAACATCATTGTGTGGTCTTCTCTCTAGTGCCCTCTACTGGGGACCTGGCCTGCAACCCAGGCAATCAAACCAGCAATCCTTTGATTAACAGGCCCATGCTCAATCCACTGAGCTACACCAGCCAGGGCAAGAACTCTTTAAATTAGTTACTGTCCAACCTATTTTTTGAGATTCAAAGAGGTTAAATGTGCCCAAGGTCATACAACTGGTAAGTGTCTGGGTTGATGTTTGAAGACATCTTTTGGCTCTGAAATCTGTCCTCTGTCATCTATTTTGTGTTGCCTTGGAGATATCAGCAGCAAAGTCATCAGCAAAAAATTACCAAGTGTCTTCCCCACACAGAGCACCAGGCTGGAGCTGAGAGGGCCAAGAAGTTCAGATATAGGAATGTTATAAGAAAGCCTCTTCAGACCATTATCTTAGCTGTCCAGGGCTCTTCAGATTTCAATAGCTTATCTTAAGAGCTAGAAAGTTTTGGGGGACCAGCCTTCTCTCTGTTCTCTCAGTTTGGGAAATTCAGACCCTTTATTTCCCAGGCTCCAGGGCTCCAACTTGGTGGATCTGAGCTCCAGGCAGAGAAAGGTAACTGTCTTCAGTTTCTTCCAGCTCTGATGGAAGCGAAGGACATCTACGCACACCTGATGCCACTCTACCGCCACCTGGAAACCCTAGAGAGTGTGGAGTTTCCAGAGGTGAAGCCATGGCTGCGACCTCTGCTCCATGTGGTCTGTCTGATTTGGGCCACGTGCAAGTCCTATTGCTCCCCAGGGCGGCTCACTGTGCTGCTGCAAGAGATCTGCAACCTTCTCGTCCAGCAGGTTGGCTCCCCCAGGACCCCTGGTGACCCCTCCCTGGGGGATGGTTGGCATTGAATCACAGAGGAGAGTAAAGTGTAGGGCAGGGAAATAATTACAGTCCTCAGAGTTCTCCCACTTGAATTATTTTACTAATCAAGCCAGTAACACACAAAGACATTTTCAGTAGTTCTGCAATATATAGTCTTTCTTTCCCCTCTACCCAAAACCCATGGTCTGATGAAGGGTAGGAGTGGTGAATTTCATCCTCCTTCATGATCTGTGCCCTCAGCCTGTTTTAAGTGAGCAGTGAAGCCTGATGGCTGAGAATGCTGTCTCTGGAGTCAGACATCTCTGTGCCAAATCCTGCATCACCACTTGTTAGGTGTGTGTGCCTGGTCAATTTGCTTATCTGCTCTGTGTCTCACTTTCCTTTGTGCAGTGGTAAAGAGAAGAGGCCCATCTCAGAGGGCAGCAGGGTGATTGTGGGGCTCTGATGAAATCACACAGAGCAAGGCTCTGTGTGCCCTGGACACACGGAGAACTCGGTGTCTGTCAGCTTCAGAAAAGCAGCCTTTTCGATCACATGCTTTATGCTCCCCCATCCTAGGGACGCTGGTAGCAACAACCAGGGCAGCGTAGACCTCCAGGAGTGTGTCTGTGAATAGAACTGGAGGTCTTAAGAAGGTTGGGGTGGTCTTCCCCCAAACTGGCCTCTTTTTTATCTAAGGAACTGAGACCCTGACTAACCAATGAACATGTTTAAAGAGGAGCTAATCATAACTAACATCTGTGAAGCACATTGCAGGCTCGAAATTGCTGTGACATTCATGATCCTGGACATTTTCAGATGAGCCCTATGAGGTAGGCAGGGAGAACCTTATTAAATTAGCATTGCTATTTAAAGATGTGGACTAAGGCTCCAGGAGGCTAACAAAGTTGCCAAAGGTCCCCTGACTCATGACTGGAAGCCAGGTTGCTTGATTCGTAGACCAATGTCCTTCCATCATTCCATGTTTGTCAGCTAGGAATCTTTTGGTTGAAAGTGTAAGGAAACCCAACCTAAAAAGATAATTTATTAGCTTACAGACCTCAAAAGACCAAGGTCAGACTAGCTTTAGCCATGGCTTACCATAAGGCCTTACATGGTGCCTTCAGGACCCAGTTTTATCTGCCCCCCCCCCCCCCCGTGGTGGTAGAGGCAGCTGTCTAACAGATTCAGCTCCATGGGTTTCCAGGTTAATTCTCTCAGAGGCAGGGAAATAATTATAGTTAAAGAATTCTTACATTTAAATTATTTTACTATTGAAAGTTAGTAAGAACACCTGAGAAAGAATACTTGCCTCAGCCCCAGCTGGCCCAACAAAAGACTCATGGTGTTTCTTGTCTCTGATTGGTCATTTGCCTAGCCCTAAGCCAATCACTGGCTATTTGGCTTTAACCCAGGCCCCAATCCACCTGTGGAACTGAGGATGGAGTCACATGTTTCTTATATTATACTCCTAAAAATATTACTTGGTCAATTATTCAGTTCAGAGCTGAAGTTGGCAAAGTTGTGGGATGTCCTGCACTTCCAACCAGGCTTAGTGACACTAATGTGTTTGCATTCCAGGCCTCTGATTATCTCAGCCCAGAAGACCTCCTAAAAAGTGAGGTAGGAGAAAGTCAGAGAAAACTGCAAGTGGTCATAGACACCTTGAACTTCTTCAAGCAGGTGTTTCAGGACAGAAGGGAGAACCTGCACACATACTTCAAAGGGAACCAGGAAGTCAGAGAGTGGGATTTCCAGTCTTCTTTGGTCTTTGTGCGATTGGACGGCTTCCTGAGACGGCTGCATGTGGTGGAGGTGAGTGTGCTTGTGCACCCCAGGCTCCCAGCTCCAGACAGGAGTGAACAATCCAGGGATCCACAAAGCAAATAGGAAAATGGCCAACGCAACATGATGGTCAACCCTCCATTGGTTGGAAGAACCCACAGTAAGATTCAAATAGTTGGATTTATCATTTGGATTGATCATCATATAATGGTGATTCTATTAGAAGTTTTGGAAAGTCTGGTTATAGACCCATTTAGGGAGAAGGCCCAAGGAATTGAAACTGGAAAAGACACTGGCATTTGGGCTGCCTGTCACTACCAAACCCAGTAAGCAATGACAGCAATTGAATCTTTATGGGCACTTTATTCAGGTGACCCATGATCTGAAAAGATGGTGGGTTCATACCCTAACAGACCATCTTGTTTTCATGTTCCAGGCCAGACCTTTTATAATGGGGAATAAACAAGGTGTGCCGAGGGCTTTGAGATTCAGAAGCTGGAATAGCTAACTGCCCTGGGCAGGGTGGTCATCTGTCTCTCCCTGGAACAAGAAGGCCCGGATGCCTCCAGTTGTCCCCAGGCAGTAATCTTTAGCAGTGCCCCAGAAGGTCAGCTATTTTCCCAGGAGCCAGGACGGACCTTATCTTTAGTTTCTGAAACAAAAGCTTTAACATACACATTACTTTCTGGACTTATGACTTTTACCTTAAGCTAAAATTTTCCAAGTCTTGAGTCCCCTATCAGATTCCGTCAACTAATTCAGTTGGTCTTCAAATTGCCCATAATCTTCAAACTTTGTTTCAAATACACCCTTGCTAAAAAGTTTGGTGTGCAAAATTCAAGTGAGCTGATTTGGATGCAGCTACCTATACCCAGAAAGCCAATACTTTGAACTTGCCCTTCTCCACTACCAGACTAGTGAATCTCAGTGCAAGATAAATGTGACTTTTGCTCAAAGTTGTGTCTCTCCCCAATTATTTAAAAGCGAAAGTGAATATTAGTTAAGGACTAGGGTGAGGAGACATGAAGCCTTTACTTTTGATTGGTTTTAGCCTCAGAATGTAATGTGGTTAACTGATCTTTTAACACTTCACCAATCAATATTTGCTGACTGGCCTTTGAGGGAAGGACAATGGACATAATACAATGAATACATACTTATTCTAAAATTTCTTTAGGATATTCAAGGTCAAGTTCAAGATTAAGACCATGGCCTAGAAAGACCGAAGAAAGATTAAAGTTACATCAATAGCTATGGTCAGCAGAGATTCAGGATGATGAGGGGGATATGTTGGGAAGAGGCTGGGATGAATGGCACAAACTGTGTGATTATGAGGATAAGAATATGAGATTGAATCTGTTCATTTCCCTTCCCAAACACTGATCCAACGCTGCTATTTACCAGGCCTTGAGCAGGCACTAGAGATACAATGATGACTGAAATATGGTTTTACCTATGAGAAGCCCTTGGACCAGCAGCCATAGCACAGGACAGCATAGACTACTGGAGGATACCCAAGGATGGAAAGACACAGAACCAGGAAGCTTCAGTGAGGTGTATTAAATACCATGATATGAGCAAAAACTGATGTGTGATTGGGAGCAAGAAAGAGGAATCCCTAACTCAGTGGGGCTCTGAGAAAGTGGTAAGCACAAGAGGAAGTAAATTTTGAAAGTGGATTAGGAATTTGCTGGGGAAAGAAGACGAGGAAGAGCATAGAGAGAGAGAAAATGTATAAGTGAGAAAGCCTGAAGCTGGATCTTTTGAAAGGTGCACCTTAAATCCTGCATCAGGATCATGGAAAGTATAAGTAATTGATATCCTAAATGCCTCTTCCCTGCTCCACCCGCCCCCCCCCCACCCCGTTATCCCACCATGCCTGTGCCCCTGCAAGCAGTTCCATCTCAATTTTTGATGTGTAACCTCTCCTCCTCTCCCCCTCCACTGTATTCCTCTCACCTCCCACATCAGTCCTTTTGCTGTTGTTTAGCTGAGCTGACCAGGTGGAGTGCCTGCTGTTATGGTACACAGCCTTGCAGGCTCTCCAGCCCTGCCTTGGCCCTGGAATGAAAGCAGAGCACAGCTCAGAAGTGACTGTGGGGCTGGGGCCCCAGTCCTATGCACACGAGCTCCTGGTGTGACTTTGCATATAGTCAGCTACTCTGACACCAGGGCACCTAATCTGCAGGATATATCTAGTAAATACAGGAAGCCAGAGCCACCAGCCTCCCTGGAGTCATTACCCTCACAAGAGTCCACTCTCAGGCTATTTTTTTCTTTCTGAATCAAGGGCACAGATGCAGGAAAAGCAGTTGCCCCTGTTTAATTAGAGGATAACTTGAAGGTCACCATGTTCTCAGTCTTCCTGCTTTGTCCAGTCTTAACTTTTCTATCCTGTGTTCTGGCTTACTTATTTGCCCTTAGGGCAAACTCTACTATTTCTTTTCTTTACTGCCTTTCCCTTTATTTTCTTTTTCCTCTTTCTTCTCTTTCTACTTGTCTCCCTTTCCCTTCTCTGTTATCCAAGTTTTCTGTCTCTATTTGTTTCCCTTAGTTCTTTGTTCACCCTGAATTTCCATAATTTTCCTTTTCCCTGTGGCTGCTCCTTTCCCCTGTCCTAGTATTTCCTCCCCTCTTTCATTTTTCATCTTCAAATCATTTGCTCAGCCTCATACCCTTGTCTTCTAGTTCCCCCACCTCTTCCTACTCAGCTCAGTGCAATGCGACATGGAACTATTGACCGTCTCCAAGCAGATTTCATGTAGCCCTTTAGTTAACATTCTGTGTATCTCTGTGATCGATGCCTGTTTAAATGGGATTAATCTGCTTCTCTCCAGCAAGAATTAGTATGAACCTAGCCTTATTCATCTTGCTATCTAATACAATATGTGGCTACTGAGACGTAGGAAGCTGCAGTTAATAAATACACAAAGCTCAGTTAATAAAATGACATCAGTGTGTCTACTACCCTTGTACACACTCACATCCAGAGTTATGCTGTGAACGGCTAGGTTTTAATGTCCATAGTTCTCTTTCATTTCCTTCCCTCTGATTTGTGTTGCTTTTTTCTGCACAAGGAAGTTTCATTGTATAGATCAACTCTTCGCCTCTGGATACCTGTTAAAATAAAGGTGGGGTGAGCTGGTGGCGGGGCGGGGGTGTTGCGCAGTATATTCCTGAGCAGCTTTCAGCAGGTCTGCAGTATGTGCAGTACCTGCATTCTCAGAAGGCCACTGTCTTCCTCCTCATCACAGTGACACAGCTTATCTCTTAGAGAGCTTAGCCTGAGCAGGAAAAGGACGGAGACTAGAAAAATAAAAAAAACTAACATGTTTTAAGAGCCCACCTTAAGCCAGAGCTTGCACCCTTTCAAGGGTCTCAAGAGCAAGGCTTTGAAACTGGAAAAGGTACCAGGGGTTGTGCTGCCTGCCACGTGCCAAACCCAATAAGCAGAACAGGGATTGAATCTTTATGGGCACTTTATTCAGATGGCTTGTGATCTAAGAAGACAGCAGGTTCATACCCTAATGACTGTCTTACATTTTTCTTTCTAAGTCAGCCTTTTATAACAAGGAATAAACAAGGTGTGGTGAGGATTTTGAAATCCAGAGAAAATTAGTTGAAAGAAACTGCAACATTCCTGTCCTGGGCTGTTAGCTGTTCCCAGGGGCGGGTGGTCATCTGTCTCTCCCTGGAACACAATGGCCCAGATGCCTCTAGTTGTCCCCAGGACATAATCTCTAGCAGTGTCCCAGGAGGTTGGCTGTCTCTCCCAGGAGCTAGGATGGGCCTTATTTGTAATTTCTGAAACAATAGCTTTAACATATGCATTACTTATTAGGCTTATAACTATTTATCTTAAACTAAAATTTTCCAACTCTTGAGTCTGCTATCAGCTTGAACACCCTCACTGTAATCAATGAGCACAGTGGAGCACAGCACATCTACTCCCTGGCTGTTGTCACAAGGCTCAGGCAGGTTTAGCTGGGATTTGTACCCTGGGGGCATGTGGGTCCCAGCACAGTCTTTTCATCAAACTTGGATGTCTCCTAGGTGGTTCTAAGAAGTCTGCTTTCTCCCCCTCCTCCATGTTGAAGGCCCCAAAGTGGTTCTGTGGTTTTATTCTGCCTTACACACTCCATGCTGCCTTTGTACACTCTGCTTTTACAACATGATTTCTAAGTCATTTTTCTAAATAAGTCATTTGGGTAAAACTGTAATTCACATTCCATGAAGGGGGTATATTTGACTTTACAACTTACTAAGGAAATACCAAACATGTATAAAATCTTTCCAATTCGAATAGTCAAGAGTCTAAGGAGAAAAGAGCCTTTCAGATGCATCTTAATTCCTCTCCTCACCCTGTCTTCCTGCTGAATGCTACAGCTCAACACCACACACCACACCACACACATACAGTACACACACACCACACACTACACCAACATAACACAGTGTGCACACAGCACATACACACATCACACATGTATATACTACACACATTGTACGTACTGCACATACATCACACCAGGCACATGCTGCACACACACAGTAGCACACTGCATACATCACTCACACAGAACATACACACTGTACATATATGCACTGAACTCACACAGTGCACACACATCACAGACGCACACAGCCGATACTGCACAGACATAACATACATCACACACACACCACACACTGCACATATATGCCCTGCACATAAACACCACATATGCACATACACAGTACACACACTACACAGACACAAATCACACAAACAACACATACAATACACACATCACAAAACATACACACACTGCTCATATCCATACTGCACACACAGTACAGTACATACTGCACAGACACATACAGCACACTGTACATATATACAGTACATACTGCACACACACCATGCCACATATACATACTGCACACACAGTACAGACACACAGAGAGCACAACCACTGTACACATACTGCACAAATACCACACATACGACATACACATATACACATCACAAAACATATGCACACTGTATATACACATACAACATTCACACACATCAGAGACCACATACCCTACACACAATACACATAACCAACACACCCCCTCACATCCCAAACAAACCATATACAGGCCCCCACATTCATACCCTATACCATGCACATATACACAAACCAAACAGAGTTCATTTTTGTGCCATAATGTCATAGATGCTGCAGATTCCCCACCGATGTGTTGGCTTGCAGACTCTGCCCTCCAAACAATGCAGTACGCAAGCAGCTTGGAGAGAGCCCTCACTGTTTTCATTATAAAATTTCTGTAAAGCTGTGACTCACTGGAGGCAGAATGATTTCCTGCTGAGGCTTTATGCGAGGTGATTAGCAGGGAGATAGGTAATAAGCTGACCTAATACAACCGTGTTTCCCTTGCTCTTTCTGCCACCTCCAGTCACTCTGCTGCCTCCTTTCATTCAGGCCTAATTGGGCTGGCGTCCCTTTCAGCCCTGCCTGAGCCTGTGGTCACATAGGAGACCATTAGCTGCATAAGGTCGGCCACTGTCCTAAGGTAAAGAAACAGTCTTTTTCCCAATGACCTTTTGAGGTTTTCATCTATGAATGTCTGCTTTGTGCTCTTCCTTAATGAATTCCAAAGACATTTAAGATAGGCGGCATGACCTTCCCTTCAAGTACGGGCTGTGTTTGCAGGTCTTGCCATTATCCCTGAGTTTGATTCTCCACCTTAGGGGCCACAGCACAAATGGAAGCCTCTCCCACTACTCCGTTAAAAGTTGCATGGGTTTTCTTAAGAACAGGACTCAATCGGCCCAGTCAGCCACCTGGGACTCCATGCTCTTTATGCTAACTGGAAAGGAGCACATGTATATCAGCCATTACCCATCTCTTACCAACCAGCCTTACCTAAGGACATCAGGGTAACAATAATTCATTACAGTGGCTCCCCATTATTCAAGTACCACCATGGCACATTCCATGGAATTCGGTAACCCCACAGCAGGTCAGGTATTAGCAAACTCACTTGCAGGTTAGGGAAGTGAGGCTTCAAAAATTTGTGTCTTGCTTTAAGCTACTCAGCTAGTAAATGACAGGCCAGGGTTGTGTGAACCCAGGGTTTCCGGCTCTGTCCCAGGCTTTCCCCACGGTGCTGCAGAGCCTACCCTTCAAGTTGACATTTTCAGCCTGTGGATGGCATAATGAATTTCACATGTTTACTACTATGATGAATAAAAATGGGCATTTAAAAGTATCATTTAAACCTCTTATTGGTTTAAATTGCCTTTCATCTGTTTTGTGGGACTTTTAAATAAATGATGAAAGAGCTACATTAAGAGTCAAAGATATAGTCACAGCCACTATGATACATCTGTTTATACCATTGCAAGACAATTTCCTGTCAGATTCAGGAATCTTCTCTACAATACTTCTATTCTGCAGTCCACCCAGAAATGGAAAACTCGCTACCTTTCTTTGTGGCCCTGCTGTAGCTGGACATTTCTAACATAAGACAATTTTGTTTTATTCAGTAGAACCACATAAATTGCCATTTTTGTAGGTCAAATACAAAAAATTTTGTAAGTTCCACCTACGAGATGAAGCCAAATATGTTCTGTTTGCTCATTTGTCTTCACTCTGTCCTCAGAGGAGGGCTGTGCAGGGTTCTGCATTGCACTTGACCAAGGCCCTGCAAACATTTAAAGGCACAGTTCTGCCTTGCTTTGTAATCCTCCTCTTTTCTAATTTTCTCAGTTGCTCCTGGGCCCTTATTTCTTAGATTTTCTACCACCCTATCACCTTCTCCTGGATGTGCTATAGATAAGTCAAAGGCCAAAGATCATATATTCATTCATTTAACAAATGTATCTCAGCATCTGGGCCTTCTTCAGGGACTGAAGATACACTAGTGCCCTCTGAGGTATTTACAGCCTACTGAGGAAAATGCACAGAAAAATAAAAAAAATAATAAAATGCCAAGTAGAATATTATAATTCCAGAGGGGTAAAAGCCCCGAAGAAAGCATATGAAGGGTGAGGGGAGAGAGTGCAGCAGAATGACGTAGTGAAAATTTGGGCCTCATTAATAGAGAAGGAAGAATAGGTCTAAGACTTTGAACTGAACCCCAAATAAATGTGTTGCTCATCATGTGTTTTTTAAATTAAATGAAGCAATGTATATATCTATTGTTTTTGGTGACCAGAGTTTTTCCAGAAAATAAAATGATTAAATAAATATTTATCTAATGCCTACGATTTACCTGTTAGATTGGAAATAAAACAACTTTGTGACTACCCAAGACCATGGGTAGTCACAAGTATTTCAAGTATTCTTGAGAAATAAAATACTGTAACAAAATTATAATATAGTTTTCTAATGCAATCAAACACATCAAGATGCATCAGTCTCTTAAAATGGTTGGAGAGTATTTCCTAAGTATTGAAATTGACACCTGTGAAATTATGAAAAATAGGTACCTAGGTGACATTCCACAGCACAAATACGCTTCTCCTTTAACACTGATTACAACTAAGCACTCTTTGAACGATTTGAGTTACTACTTAAGTCAATTTCATTTAAGTTTAATTCATTCTGTTTTCCTCCCAGTTTATAAAGTTGAAGGTGTTTTAAAATATAGACTGCCCCATTTCCCACCATCAGTGGCAAGATCTCCTATTGCAGGTTTATGTCTTTCTTGGTTGGTCCTTTTCTCTTCCCTCCTCTCCCGCTTCAGCTACTTGCTGACAGCCATGCCTGAACATGGATGAGCAAAGAAGGGCTGTTAGGTGGCTGCCAAGGCTGCACGGGTGCTCTCCTGGCAGCGTGGAGACAGTCTTACCACTCAGACGTCAGACGTCTTACCACTTCCCAATGCCTCTGTTAGTGCTGCTTGCCTTGGGGTCCCTGCCAGAGAAAGGAGTTGGGCAGCCTTCTGCTAGTCAGATGGGTTGACCTCTAGCAGTGGCCACTGGCAGAGGGAGTTGCCTAGAGCGGAACCAGTACCTACTGGGTTTCCAGCATCATGACATCATGTTTCCTCTTCTCGCCTTTCAAACTTCCTCAGGGTAGAAGACCCCTCCCAGGGACCCGCGCCAAATGTTTGCCAATGTCACACAAAGGTACCTCTCCCTCTTTCCTATTGAAGAGGCATGCACATAGCCTGGAAATTGTAATGGGAAGAATGTCTTGGTTTGGAGGCTTTGTGATTTCAGACCAGTTTTCATGAGAGATAAATGCTACCTCTGTCATGTTAGTTGTGTTCTGGAGGCTCCTGTCCTATCAGAGGTAACATGGCTTCCATGGACTCAGGAGGCGCTCCTCCCCAAGGCTCTGGGTTGCATTGTCCACCTGCCACTTAATTCTGAGCACAGCTGGGACACTGCCATACCAACAACAGTGACAATAATATGTATTTATTGTGTAGTTGCTGCGTGCTGGCACTGGCCTAAATCCTAAGCCTGAATTCACTTACTTTCCTCTCACTATTATTATCCTGTCACAGATGAAGAAACCCAACACAGAGGTGTCAAGCAATTGCCCACTGACACCCAGCTGGCCACATGGTGTGCCGTGTCGCATGTGCTTGGCAGAACTCTGCAGATTTGTTTTCTTGGCAGGAGTTGCCGAGACTGTTGGTGTCCCCCTCTGGGCTTGTCCTCAGGACTGTTTGAAGGACTCACTTTCCTGTCAGTATCCCTATACAATAGCTGTCATTCTAGAAGCAGATAACATGGTCCATTTGAAACCAATTTTTAAAAAATTGGTAGTAAAACCGCTAATCATGCAAAGATGGTATTATTATTATATTTTATTTTTTATTAGGAAACACAGAAAGGTTGAAGCATAAATGTGATCTTTGGTGTGAATTTTATTTTATTTGTACTTTCTCTTTGCTTTGTTATCAGTTTAACCAAGAGTTATTTACACCACCCCAATCTATTAATTAGGTTACAGCACAAATCAGGCTTCACATTTCCTAAGCAACCACCACCCCCATGTGATTTCCAGCCCTTCCCATACTAATTTGAGTATTAACTGTTGTTGTTACCATCGTCGTCGTCGTCATCATCATCATCATCATCATCATCATCATTATTTTCACTCTTGTGACTTGTCTGTACAGACTCTCCTGAAGACAACCTTGGATTTTCACAAACTGGAAAAGCTTGAGTTCAGTGGCCTCAGAGGGAATGCCCTGAGTCAGCAGGTCCGGCAAATGTACAATGAATTTCAAGAGCTGTGCAGGGTCTTCTCGGAGTCCTCCTATGACTGCCTGGACCCCCAGAGCATGGTAGGGCTTGCAGAGACTACCTCACAAGTTTGGTCTCTTTCTCATATGCCTCCAGCCTGTAGGGTCTGGGTATTTACTTGCATTTTCCCTCTTTCCTTTAGCTCTCTAGTCCCAGTGGTTTTATGAAGGGAGGCCCATTCCTAATTACTCTTTGTGTCAGAAGAAAAATCAGGGAGGGCCTTTTTGAACTGCTGACTGCTCCAGACTGATGATACCCAGGGTTTCAGAGATGCTGAGATGGATATGGGATGATGGTGGCAGCTGTGGCCACCTGCAGCTCCCAAAGCTTTAAGCTTTGAGCAGCAACTCCTACATGAAAACCAGGCGCACCTGGGAAGAATTTTATTAGTGCCTTGGGATGAGGTGGGAGATAAATGAAGCCATAGCCTAGCTTTTCTGATCTGACTCTGGTTTCCAAGGGAGTACTCAGGAGTGAGGGAAAGGCCAGAGATGTACGAGTTCTGTCCAGAAAAAGTCCAACCATGGTTAATATAATGAGAACAGTTTGTGGGACACTGATTTAACCTGGCAGCCAAGGACAGTAGACTAGAATGAACATGTGTGAACAATGACAACTTCACTTTACTAATCAGTGAGGGCGGTAGATACTATTGAGTGAGCATGTATACTGTGTGGCCATTGCATTCAAAATGGCTAAGTGAGTAGAGCAATGAATCTGCATCAAATTTTGCATTAAGCTTGAATATTCTTTGTGGAAACTATTCAGATGATTCAGAAGGCCACAACTATGGTCAGCTGGTGATTGGCAGCTTCATCATGACAGTGTGCCTGCTCATGCAACACATCTCACGCAGAGTTTTTTGGCAAAACATCAAATTTCCCAGGTGACTCAGCCCCTCTACAGACCAGATGTGGTGTCCTGTGACTTCTGGCTTTTCCCAAAACTAAAATCACCTTTGAATGGAAAATGATTTTGGAACATTAATGAGATTCAGAAAAATACAACAGGGCAGCTGATAGTGACTGGAAGAACTGTGTGAAGTCCCAAGGTGCCTACTTTGAAGGGGACTGAGGCATCATTGTCCTATGTACAGTGGTTTTTGTATCTTGCATCTTCTTCAATAAATGTCTCTATTTTTCATATTATATGGCTGGATACCTTCTGGACAGACCTTGTATTTTTCATGACTGGAACATAAGAGCCCAGAAAAGCTGAGAACTGTTAGTGCAAGCCCACGGGAGATGAAGAAGTAGAAGAAGAAGAAGGAGGAGGAGAAGAAGAAGGAGAAGGAGAGGAAGAGGAATAGGGGGAGGAATAGGAAGACGGGGAGGAGGAGGAAGAGAAGAAAGGGGCAGACAGAAATAGGGAATGAAGTTCCCAAGAAGGAAATGGCTAATTATTAGAGAAGGAATTCTAAGAGTATATGAGGGGAAAAGAGAAAGAAATTAGAGCAGAAGTCTTCTGTAAGCACCTTCAGATGTCTAAGAAGATCTAGCAAATCCAGGGAGATATCACTTTCTAAATATTCCATTAGTCAAAAGTAGGGTGGAAAAGGTGTAATACAAAACACAAACTTGTTTTAACTCTTGTGAATTGTCTCTATAGGATCTTATGAAGACAACCATGTACTTTCTAAAACAAAACAAATGAAACAAATGATAAAACAAAACAATTCCATGCACAGGGAAACATACTGTAATGTGAATATGGTTGGGTTTGGGAAGTAGAACTATATACTATGTTCTTTTATTTTATCTTTTTATAAGATATGAGTTACTATTATACAGCAGTAATAATAAATAAAAATAATTTCGTAAATTAGGGATTTAAGTTAACAAGTTACTCTGTAAATTGCTACAGTCTAAGAGGAGAATGCACTTTGGGTTGCTAGATAAAATATAATAATTGGGACACATACTAAAAATAAATTCATTGTTTATCTGAAGTTTAAATTTAAATGCATAGCCTATATTTTTATTTGATAAATTTGGCAACCTTAAAAATACTGACTAGCTGTTATCTTAACCAATTAAAGTATACTTAGAAGTAATGTGTATTAGTTTAATTAGCTTACTTTCCTCCTAATGGCTAGGTAGTTTAGTTACACTGAGAAAATAGGATTTAGACTTGGGAGTGGAAGGGAAGTAGGTGGTGTGTTGCAATAGCCCCATTGCTGGGGCTGCTGCTGCTGAGGTGGCTTTGGTGGAGGGCATGAGCTGGCACTGTGGGTGATAGAGGAGGGGCTTCAGATGGTGGAGGGGGGAAGAGAGAGAGAGAGAGAGAGAGAGAGAGAGAGAGAGTAAAATGGTGCCAACCTCACAGTTTGATTCACTCCATAACTTTGTCTAGGAAAGAAAATGCTGCAACAATGGGGTAACCATCTACATGGATAAAATCTAAGTCATGCCAAGGTGAATTTTGGAAAATGAAAATAAATCCTTGGTATAACAGATTCAAGTGCAAAAATTGGTAATAAAGAGTATAAGGAAACTGGCTTTTGCAAAATTATGTTTTTCTATGTCTATCTGATGTCTCTTCAGGAATTTGAAAATGATGTCTCTAAGTTTAACCAGAGAGTAGAAGATCTTGATCAAAGACTGGGGACTATCTTTATTCAAGCCTTTGATGATGCACCTGATTTGGAGCATGCCTTTAAGGTTAGTACAAGTAGAGTGGTAGCTGCCCCTGTGCTGATTGTACCCCTGCCCTCACCAGAGGAGGGGAAGGATGCTCTTCCAACTGTTTTGTTCTTGTGGATATTAATCATTCTTATTAGTCTAATAGAGAGGTATTAAGAGTGTCCTAGGGCAAGGGAGTGTGCAGAATTGGGCTTCTCAGTGTTGTTACTAATGCTTTTCTGAAAACATAGTGCTTACCTTGGGTCTTATCAGTAGGGTGCTTTTAAAAGTGAAGATGTCTACTGTGGTCACCATTCTGAATCCATGGTTCTGCAATACCATGGCTGTTTGACCACTGTCATCAGGTTGGTTAAAGCTGAGGCAAACCACCTACCAGGTAATTGTTATAGCATTCAAGTACCAGTAACTAGAATAAGAAGACTCATGCCTTTGCCCTGTACTGCCCAGCTCAGAATATGGAGAAGGTTTAGGATGATGAGCAACTACATGGCTTCACAACTGAGAATTCTGAGTTGTGAGACATGAAGACATAGTAGAACTAGATAGTTCTTCTACAAACTATGAAGAGACTTAATTTGTAAAGCCTTAAGGCTTAGAACCAGAATTAATCAGTGGAAATTACAAGGAGGCAGATTTCAGAGGAAAGAGATTTCTGTCAAAGCTACTGAAAGATAGAATGGACTTTCTTGAGAAGTGTTTTAAGTTTCCAGTCACTGAAAATGTCCAAACATAGACGGGAATCCATGCTCTTCTAGAAAACTGAGTAACCCAATTGCCAGCCTTCCTTAGCCATTGAATATACACATATATAATATATGACCTCTGATAAATACTCACATAGGAGGACTATTGATTTTTCTCTCCAAGCATTCAAGCTTATTTCAGAAATTAGTTCAAGAATTAGTTCTCTCTGAAACTTTTTTCATGCTCCTACTCTCAAATTTTAACCTTCCAAATTCTCCTTCACATCTAGCCTACTTAGCTTATTTTTTTCTTTTCTATCTTACCCCTCCTCTCTGTTTTAGGTCTTTTTTATTAAAGATCTTTTAAATATAGATAAGCTTAACCTTTCTGACAACTTTAAGTTTTCTCTTTGTTTTATTCTTTATCCAGATTCTAATATCCCTCGAGGGTCTGATAGGTAACTTAGCAGACAGGAATCCTCCCCCTTTAGAAGCAAAGGAGAGATGGGGCAAACTATGAATGTCCACTTATTAATAATTATTGATCCAGTTGCACATTAACAATTGTTTGACCTTCTTACATTGTTAGATATATGAAAGAAAAGCCAGGACACAAGATTTATGTAACCTTAGAAATATTGAATCTGTGGCTTGTTCCTCTTATTTCTCCACCTCTTCTGCAGCTGCTGGACATAGCAGGCAATCTCCTGGAAAGACCACTGGTAGCACGAGATGTATCTGATAAGTACCTGGTGCTCATCCAAATGTTCAACCAAGAGCTGGATACAGTGAGGATAATCTATGGTCAGCATGTCCAGGAGAAGGCAGAACTTGGTAGGCTGGTTTCCAGGGCATTTGGATGGAGGAGTTCTACTACTGGGAAGCCTGACTAAGGGTGGTACCACACCACAGTGTGATACCTTTGTTTCTATTGCAACTCTTAGACGCCCTGTCTTATCTGTTTGAAAGTCAAACACAACTTCAGTTCAGCTTTGCAAACATTTCTTGAGTCTTTACTTATGCATGACACATTTCTGGGCATGTTATGCAGAGACAGGCCAGGATCAGGGATACACTAATTAATACTACAAGGTGGTTCTTCAAGGAACACACCACCAGATAGGAGCAGAGTTACATAGCAGAATATATGTAGTCTCTGACTTGAGTTATAAAAAACTGTAATAAAACAAGATAAGCTGTGGCTGGGATATTCCAGGGTTTGAGGAGAAGGTAGCCTTGAGCAGAACTCTGAAAGGTTGGGGAGATTGACATCTGGGCAGAAGCAAAGACCTCCAAAGGTCTTACCACAACTGGTGTGTGGTAAGCACCAGTAGGGCCTGCCTGTAACCAAACAAGGTGTGTATAAGGAGATTGGGTTAGCTACGGAGTTTGGGGCCAGACCAAGAAGTGCTCTGAGTGTCATATTTTAAGGAATCTTGAACCCATTAGACAGGCAATAGGAAATGTCCAGGGTTTTTAAGTTATCAAACAGTGGGACCACCATGTCTATAAACAGGTTTCATGCTGAGGTCACTTAGGATCGCATCCACTTAGGAAATCATTCCCAGAAAATCTGTTGGCCTCAACTTATGTGGGACCATCCTCATGACATCCAGTCAGGAACAGAATTTGAAAACTCAAATGCCTTATGAGGCCAGGTTAGTTTTCCGTTGCTGCATAGCAGATGGTTGCAGCCTTTGCAAATTCCACAGCACCCACCCTGCAGCTCCCAGTCTCTAGGGCAGCAGCCCAGCATGGGGCTCCTCGGTCCTCCACCCAGTGTCATAGGGCTGCAACTGAGGCATCAGCTGGGTTGACTTCTCATCTGGAGGCGCCAGGGGGGATATCTGCTTCTGAGCTCATTTTCATTGGTAGAATGGTCTCTATTTCCTTGCTGGCTGTTAGCTGGGGGCCACTCCCATTCCCTGCCATATGGGAAGGCTATGTGGCTGCCCCCACCATCCAGCCAGGGGTGATGGCACACTGAATCCTTCTCCTACTTCAAGTCCCTGACTTCCCCTTCTGCCGCCCACCAGAGAAAATGCTCTGCATTTAAATGGCTTGCTTGATTAAGTCTGTCCCACCAAGGATTATATCTTTGTTCCATGTAACACAACATCATCACAGGAGTAATATGGTATCATATTGCAGTTTCCCCTCTCACTTACAGAGCAGGGAATTATGCAAGGGTGAGGCTCATGTGGTGTTATCTTAGAATTCATGCACCGTTGGTGTGGGCTGAGTGGAAGTCATCAGGAAGCAGTAAAATCCACAACAAATTAAAGGAAGAGACCACAGTTCCAGCTGCTGGTTAGAAGCAGTGGCTGATGTTTGCCACATATTCCAATTTTACCAAGGAAGTTGGAAACTGATTTTTTTCAAAATAAAATCACATAATTGCTAAATCTTGACAACTCATTCTAAACAAACAAAAGTAAGAATATTCAGTCTTTGCTAACTGTGGTCAAGCACTTTGTAATCTACCTGGCTTGTCTTATAAATAAGCTTATTGAACTCTCACATAAACCATTTTATAAATTAAAAAAAAAAAAAACTGAGGCCCAGAGAAATTAAATCATCTGTTAAGGCAGAGTTTCTCAACCCTGACTGTACTATTAGAATCCTCTTGAGAGCTTTCACAAAATACAAATGACTTATCCCTGCCCAGACCAATGAAATGAGATGAGGAGGACAGGGCCCAGGCACAAGCATTTTTAAAGAACCCCTCCCACCCCACCAAGGGATGCAGATGTGCAGCCAGGTTGAAAATCATTGGTGTGAAGTCAGAAAGCCAGTGAGTGGCAGAGCTGGGCTGGTACCCCTGTCCTCTGACCCTGTTTCCTGTTGTCCCCAAGGTCACTCTTTCTATTCCTTAGCAGAACACAGTGTTTCCCCAGGAACTCTACAGCTCAGTGTGAGCAAGGGTGACTTTAGCATGTGAAGGCAGATGAGGCAAAAAGTGGATTAGCTGGTGGCAGGTGATCCTGAGCAGAGTAGGGCTGGGAGTCTAGGACCTCACTTCATTCAGCCTGGCTGTGCTGTACCTCCAGGATTCTCCGCAGTTCACAAGAACATGCCCTCTGTGGCCGGGGGTCTTCTTTGGGCTCAGGAGCTGAGGCAGCGCATCCAGGGTCCCTTCACCAACTTCAAACGCATCACACATCCGTGAGTACCTCATTCCTGAAAGGCAGGTTTGTTCTTGCCTTCTGTCTTGCTCTGGGTTTTGACTGTTGTAGAGATGCAACTCACTTACCAAAGGCGTGAAAATCATCCTTATTTCTTTCCATTTTTGGTAACTAGTGTCTTAGTCTACTTGGACTACCATTACAGAATACCATAGACTAGATGGCTCACAAACATTAAAATTTATTTCTCACAGTCTGGAGGCTGAGAAGTCCAAGATCAAGGTACTGATAGATTCAGTGTCTAGTGAGAGCCCACCTCTGGTTCACAGATAGTCATCTTCTTCTTGTGTCCCCCCATGGCAGAAGGGGTGAGGGAAGTGGTGTCTCTTCTTACAAGGGCACTAATCCCATTCATAAGGGCTCCACCCTCAAGATCTAACCACCCCAAAGGTCCCACCTCCTAATACCACTACATTGGGGAATTAGGCTTTGACATAAGAATTTGGGGGAGGGAATGCAAACATTTGGTCCATAACAACCAAGCACCTATTGAGCTGATTACTGGGCCCCTTGGTGGTAAAGGAGGCTCAGTGGACAAGAGGCTGATTGCTTTTGCTCCATGAGACTCATTTCTGGAGGAAAATGAGTCAGAGTGTTTAAGCTCTGTGGAGTTCTTCCACATGCATCCCTTGGGCACGGGGTCTCTTTGCTCCTGAGGCCACAGGAAAATAATGGAGCCCAGTGTTTCCTAGAGCATGGTAAGAGGGCCTCATGTGTTAGAAGGCCCCGGGCGCCTGTTCAAATGCAGGTCCCTGGCCTCACCCCTCACCTACTGAATCTGAATCTTGGAGTGGGGTGGTGTCTGTGGATCTGCTTCCTCCGCAAGCCCCTTCCCCCATGATCCTGATGGTGACCAGGTTTGGAAACCACTGGCCTGCCTCACAGCTGATCCTGGAAGCCGAGCTAGTTGGAGGCATCTTGGCTGCTGGAAGAGAGAGGGAAGAGCTGATCACGAGGCCGTGTGCAGGCTGCTGCCTAGGAAAGGATGGTGTCCCTCTGGCCCCTCTTTCTCAAGACTGGGCTTATTGAAAGCACTTGGCTTTGGCAAACACAACAGAAACAAAGGAATTTAAGTCTGGCTTCTGGCATCAGGTTTTTTTCAGCTATCAAGGGCCTTAGAGACCCTTGGCCCAGGTGGTAAGATGGATGCTTTTAGACGTGAAAAGGTGCTCAATGCCACTAATCCTCAGGGTCATGGAAATCAAAACCCCCTGAGAGGCCACCTCACACCTGCCAGAACGGCTGTCACCCAAAAGACAAGAGACAGCAGGCACTGATGAGGACGTGGACAACACGCAGCGTCCTGTGCACTGTTGGTGGTGTTACGCCTTGGCACAGCTACCGTGGGAAACAGGGTGGGGTTCCTCAAAAGGTTAAAAATAAAGCTACCACACGATCTTAGCAATTCCACTTCTGGGTATTTATCTAAAGGAAATAAAATCATAATGTTGAAGAGGTATCTACACCCCCACATTTATTGCAGTATTTTTTACAACAGTGAAGACATGGAAACAATCTAAGTGTTTATTGTTAGAGGAATCGATAAACAAAATGGGGCATGTGTGTGTGTGTGTGTGTGTGTGTGTGTGTGTGTGTGTATATATTCAGTCATAAAGTAGAAGGACATCCTGCCATTTGCAACGTGGATAGAACTTGGGGGCGTTTTGCTAAGAGCAATAAATCAGAAAGAGAAAGACAAACACCAGATGATCTCACTTGTATGTGGAATCTGAAAATAAAAAAGCCTCAGGACAAAGAGGTCATATTTGTGGTCATCAGGTTATCAGAGGCAAGAGTGGAGGGTGGGAAAATGGACGAGGGTTTTCATAAGGTACGAACTTGTAGCTGTAGGATAAACGTATCTTGGGGATGTAACACACACCACAGTGGCTGCAGGTAACAGGGTTGTATGGAATATGTGAAAGTTGTTATGTGCGTAGATCCTAAAAGTTCTCATCACGAGAATAAAAGCAATTTTTTCTTGTTGGGGGGTATCCATATGAGATGATGGACGTTAACTACACCAATTGCGGTAACCATTTCACAACACATGTAAGTCATTACGTGTACACTTTAAACTTGCACAGTGCTGTGTGTCAACTGCATCTCAGTCAAACTGGGGAAAAGTTTTAAAAGCCTAAACGTTTTCAGAGGCAAAGAAGATGACGCAAAACACCAGAGGAAAGTCTGAAGGGTGCCTCTACCCCAACACCCAGTGTTGCCAAGCAGAAAATGTTAGAAATCTCTGACTGTTGTAGAGGAAACCTGAAAATGCAGGGTTTTATGTGAAACACCCAGCTTGAAATGAGCAGCACTCCACTTTTCCTCAGATTCCTCCCTGATCAAGCACATGTGTCTGCGCCTGGCCTGCGGAGTGGGCCTGCTGGTGGGCGTACCTGTGTACCTGCTCGGCCTCTGCTCGGCCTGAGGAGCTCTTTGTTTTGCAGATGAAACAACAACAACAACAAAACTGAGGCAAACAGAAAGTGAGGGGACATGCCTGAAGTCCTGCAGAGGCCTAAGGAAAGACATGGAAGTCTGGGTCTCAGAGTGTCTAGCCCAGGGATTCCTCAACCATGGGAAATTTGGCCTAGAGAACAGCCAAGCCCTCATCTTCTCAAGCGTGTTCCCCAAGGCAGGAGGGAGAAAACATATAAATGGGGGCGGGGGGGCTGTTTCTAGGGCCATGGAGTGTGGTGGCTGTCATAGGCCCTGTTCCCTGGGAGCAGACTCTGAGATGCACATGCAGGAACATATAGGGACACTCTTGGGAACAGGACCTGTGAGGTAGTGGGAGGATGGGTGGGCAGAGGGAGAAGTACACAGCGATATGGTTGCTAGGAGGCTTCCACCCATCCTCTGGGAACCCTGGCCCTGCAGTGTTACCCAGGCTTTGTACCCCCACATGAGCTAGTTGGCAGATGTGGGCTGTCTGAGGGAGGTGCATGATCTTGGGCAAGAAGGCTCTCATTGGCTGAGGCCATTACCACAGAGAGGCAGCCTTGCTTTACCAGCAGCCAACACTCCTGGCCAGAGGCAAGTGAAGGGATGGGGTGGGTAAGTGTGCCTGGTCCTGAGAAGGGATCTCAGTGACAACCCACCTGTCCTCCGAAATTCCTATGGAGATTTATTTCCATTTGTTCTAAAAATGAATTCAGAATTATGCTGTGCCTGTAATATATGTTTATTGGTTATTAGAAATGTTTTGGATGCCTCCCCATGAAATGAAGTAGAAACTTCAGGGAGCTTCTTGGCACTTACTCCTATGACTTCTTGAACCTTCTAGGCAACTGCCACAGGCCCCAGGGCATGAAACTGCTCTCTCCTCTGTGTGTTACTTGCCCTTGAGCTGGCTCTGACCCCAATGCCTGGTGACCCTATGGATGAGCAACACCCACAATGTCTGTCCTCACTAGCTCTGCTGGGCTCCAGGACTCTTTTTGTGGAGTCTGTCCATCTCATGTTTAGTATTCCCTTTTTCCTGCTTCCTTCTATTTTCCCCAGCATTATTGCCTTTTGATCTTCCAGCCTCATCCTTTTGCAGGTGTGAAACGGAGGTCAGGTATTTGAGGTTTCCGGACACCCCACAGCTCCCTGAGGGGAGGGCTGGGCGTGACCCCACCCGCCTGCCCTGAAGCCCTTTCCACTTCTCCTTGCTGCCTCCAAGAGGCAGCTGCTTATTCACCATGGAAGGGAACTAAGCAGCTGGAAATCCTGGGCTTTCTCTGCAGGCGTGAGGGCTTACATTGAAAGCTCCGGGGATCTTGTAAAGAAATTCTGTTGGTTCAAAGAGCAAATGGATTTTAAAGAATCTTTGCAAGATGCTACCTCGTTTTGCTGGCAGAACAAACAAAAACATACCTACCAACACAATTAACGTGAAGGTTTATGAAAATTATAGATATTTTGCCAACTTTCTCAGCACCTGGACTCTCAGTCTGTGTTACAGAGGAGAGTCAAGCAGGAGCAGGAGTGGGTAGCAGAGCCTCAGGCCAGACCCTGCTCATGTTCCTCTGCGGTCTTCACCGTTCCTGTGGGGGCCTCGGGGAGAGGCCTGTGCATGCGAGCATGTGTGTATGTGTGCATGTGGGGTGCATGTATGTGTATCATGCATGCACACATTTAGGGGATTGAGATGTGGGAGGGAACCTCATGTAAACATGTCAATGGGTAGCCGGGCTTCTCATAACATGTCCTAGATGGATTTCAGAGAAGGGATAAAATGTATATGTATGTATGTATGTTCATATGAAACAATGTCTATGTGTGTGTATATAAACATTGTTATATAAATATATAAAACATCATTTTATATATAATGTTATATAGTTTTTGTTATAATGTGTAATGTCATGTGTAGTTTTTCCCTTCTATACAGAAAACTGTGGCCCCTAAAATTTTTCTGCCATGTCTCCATTCCCCTTTTATTCAGCTTTTCGAGGGACTTAATTTATCTGTGCATGACTAGCAGGGCCAGGGTGAAGGGTTGGTGGAGCCACAGGGCAAAGGTGGGACTGCCTGTTTTTCAGGAAGTGCTGGTGCCTTCTAGTGGCTCCTGGAGGATGTTCAGAAAGAATTCAGGTTCCTTCAGGGGCATTTGGAAGCCAGCCCAGGAAACTATTCAATCTCTTCCTTATAAACTACAGTTTGTTAATCAGATCATTCTTCTGACTTCTAATCTGATAGCACTTTTTGTCTCTTTTGTATGGATAGTTGCATGGAATCTGCTGAAGGAAAGAGAATGATTCAAAAATATGAAGCTATGCTTTCATTGCTGGAAAGGTAAGCAGCTTCTGGGATTGTATTGTTCTGCAAGTTTCATAAGCCCCCCAATGCTTCTTGCAGTTGTGTGTTTGAGCAGGTTCCTTAGTGTCTGGGAAGTGTTACTCTGTATTCTATGTTATAACCACATTATCTGTGAACACAGTGCTTCTGGGTTGCAAACACAGGAGTCTAGGGAATAGAAACAGACACTTCTCCCCAGTAGTTTTGTTGGGACTGTTTGAGCCGGAAGTGGAGCACTCCTGGTGGCTCTCCGAGATCAGTGTCCAGGAAAATCCAGCGGCTGCTGACTAAGCAGAAAGCAACAATTTGTGCGGTACAAAACAAACAAACAAAAACAAGTTTTAAAAATATTTTCTGTATCCTTTCATGGACAAAGCATATGAATGGAGATTTTCCATGGGTTCATAGTTGTTCCTGCTTTTAAGCTGAAGTAGGTCTTGAGGGTACAGGGTCTAGTGCCCACACTGCCCACACCAACACTGTCACCGCATCCTCAGGATGGGGAGCCTGTCCATGCCTCCCATCATCCTCGGTCTCCTTAACATGACATGAAAAGCCCTTCCTGGTCTTTTCTTCCCTCTCCAGCCTTGACCCTTTCCTCCTCATTAGCCACAGGTGTTTCCAGCACACAGTAGTCTATTTCCTACCTCCACCCTTTGGCTGTGCTGTTGTTTGCTGGGAGCACTTATTCTTCCTTCACTGCCTACCCATGCTCTGAGACTCAGTGAGCATCACTCTAGGCCCTCTTCCCCTTATCACTGTAGCCCCTGGCCCCTGACATTAAATGCCCCACGCCCTGTACCTCCCTCTAGGACTGTGCTTGCTGCATTCTCTGTTTACCTGTGGTCCCACCATTAGCTGAACTCACCATGGGCTGCTTAGTCATCCTTTTATCCCCCAAGCTCAGCACATGGTAGGTACTCAGTCAGTGTGTAATGACTGATGACAGGTTCTGTAAGTGACATGAACATTAGTATGGGAGCAAATCATACCCAATAGCTTATTTCTGTGTTGACTGAGATGAATCACAACTTCCCTTATCAACCACAAAGATCATGTGGAGCCTCTCTTTCTACTCTTCCCTGACTTAAACTATGCTGTTTTAAGAAATAAGGGGTTACTTGCAGGAGTTTCCATGCCTGTCTGTCAATGACTTTACCAATATGTATTCAGGTATTTTACTAGTAGTATCTTTAGTTCATAAAATAGATAGTTTAAATAAATAGATAAATAGGCTATGTATACATATGTGTGTTCTATATAGGTAAATATATCTTTATATGTAGAGACCTATGGTATCTGGATCTTTAGTTAATTATTGCCAGGTGTTGGGGTGCTGGGAGGTGCTTATGAAGTGGCTGTTGTTTCCTGTCCTCGCAGGTATGAGACCAGGCTTTACGAGGACTGGTGTCAGACAGTATCAGAGAAGTCACAGTACAATCTCTCCCGGCCACTTCTGAAGCGTGACCCAGAAACGAAGCAGATTACTGTCAACTTTAACCCACAGGTAAACCTGGCAACAGTAATTTCTTATTGGGTTCCTAAAGAGTTTCACTGAACTTTGCTGATTTCAAAGGCAAAAAGGCTTTTTTATCTGAATATGAAAAAGCTGCTCAAAAGAATTTGCACCCCAGATTTCCTTTTTGGGATAGATCCTGGGGTGTAGTGTTTTCTCAAGTTGCCCAAGGTTCACATTTTCTCCAGGGTTAGCTAGTATATTTGTTTTGATTTTGCACAACAGAAAATATTGCAAAATATTTTTTAAACTTTTCATATAATAACAGCTTTATTATATACTTGACTTTACTATTAACTCTTCAAAAGTTTAACATGTTATAAAGATGCACTATCTGAAATTTCAGAAGGCATTGAAACAGATATCGCTACCCATCTCTGGACAGACAGAATGATTGCATTGCCAACCCTTTAGTACTGAACAGCTGACTGGCCTACCTTGAATGCCTGCTACCCATGAAGGCTGTTGACTGAACACTGGGAGGCCAAACAAGTATATGACCTGGTTCCTGCTCTCAAGGAACCCACGAGCTAGTAGGGAGCTTTAATGTCAATAAATAAAAATCTATCTTAATTGGACAGCATATGATACATCTCAAAGGAGTATCTTCAGAAATAAGACTCGAGTGATTCTCGACTGAGGCAATTTTTCCCCTGAAGACGTTTTTGGTTGTCAAACACACAATGGGGCTGATAGCACTGAGTGCATAGGTACCAGGGTTACTGCTAAACTTTCTATATTGCATAGAACAAAGGGTTTTTTATCTAAAAATATCAATAGTTCCAAGGTTGAGAAACCCTGCTCTAGGTGATGAGAAGGGTGGAAGGCCAGTGTGGGTGTCAGAGTCCTGGGATGCTTAATGTCAGAGAAGACAATGATCCAAGCTAGCCCATGTCAAGACGTACATCATTCAGTTACACAATAGAAGTAAAAAGTATTGGTCACGCTAAGCTGAAAGCAGTCACCTGCTTCTGTCTGGAAGGCAAGTTTTCCAGGAATGTGGTATAGAGAGGGCTGAAAACTGAGCCAGTAGCATATTGGTGTCTTTGAGAAAACTGAAGGTTAAGTAGATCATCCATTCTGATTGAAATAAAAGTCAACAAAGGAAGCTGGTGGGTCCATTTTTTACTCTGGTAGGCTATGAGTCTGTTATTGAACTCATTTGAATAATTTTATCAGCATTTCTTGTCAATAGTATTGTATATTAACTGCCCAGAGAGATCAGTTTCTGGATTATTAACTAGGCCAGAATCTGTATATGATGATTATAGTAATTATGTCCTCAGTATAAGACAGTATTAAGGATAACTGACTCCTTTATATACTCCAAAAGCAAGAGCTCTATCTGCCCCAATGTGCAACACATAGTAGGTGCTTTTTGGTGTCTGTAGGTGATAGAAGGGAAAGGAAGTAGAAGAAAAACAGTGAGAGCAGAATTGAGGAGTAGAGATAAATACCTAAATTATGATGTAAGTCAAGGGGAGACAAGTACAAACACAAGTCAGAGAAGAGCTGCAGCCCTCCCTTGACTTCCACTTGTAGCAACATGGCAATAGCTGTGGTGTCCAAAATGGGCAGCATCACATACATCATTCCGGGGGATGATCAGAGACTTGCCTCTTTGGGGCCAGGATAAGAATTGTATGGGAAAAGTAATATATGTATGAAATCTATTTAAATTATTTAAGTGCCCTATTATTGGGCATTTATATTATTTTCCAGTTTTATCAATTTGTATTTCATGGTTCTAGGATGCACTTTTTTTTTAACTTTTTATCTTTGAAAATGGTATGTCTTTGTAGTTTAAAAAAAGTACATTTTTTTCTTTCTTCCTTCATTGTAAATAGAGTAATAGTGAATCTTACCATCATTGGCATCTTACAGTTGGATAAAATGTGGTAGAAATATTGCTACAATAAATATCTTTAGTCATTGTTGCATCTATCCTTGATTATTTCCTTGGAATAAATGCCTAGAAATAGGATTGCTGGGCTAAATAAAGGGTACTAGCATTTTGAGACTTTTTTTGCATATGGTCAGTTTGGTCTTCAGAAAGCTGGAATTCAGTCATTAACCTGCTAGCAAGATATTTACATCTTCCAACCACTTCCAGCTTGTTGGACTAGGAAAAATATAATATCTCAGCACTGTTTTAACTTTGTTCATGTGTTCATTGGCTGCTTACATCTCTTCTATAAATTGCTTGTTCATGTCCTTTGCCCACTTTCAAGTGGAAGTACCCTCTTTTCCTGTGAATTTGTTAGAATATTTGGTAAATACTTGTCAGACATTTAAAAATCTGCTGCAAGTATTTTTACTAGCTGAAGTATGTCATTTTAATATGTGTACAATGTTTGTATGCATCTAAATTTTATCTTTTGTGGTTGTATGTTTGGAATGGCATTCTCTACCTCATTATTATATAAATAATCCCATATTTTCTTCTGATTTTTGTTTTCATTTCTTAAACTTAAATGTGTAATATCTATCTTGAGCAAATTAAGTACGAGGCTGAAGTCATTTCCCCACCATCTTGTTAGCATTTGTCATAGCCCTAAGTAGGGTTGGCTGATTGCCAATGAAGAGATCATCCAGAGCCACTGGAAGCAGAGCCAGGAGCCCAGGTGTCTTGATATGGAAGTAGGGGTGGGGCATGGGGGGGGGCGGCAAGGAGAATCTGCAGCCTGGTATCTGCTTTGTCACACATTCCTGTGACATTAGTCTGTGTAAGTTCAGGGATAAACACAATAAGCAAGGAATGATGAGCAGTGCTCTTAGCAACGCTGCAGAGGCCTCTGTGTCTTCATTGGGCAACATCCGCTTGGTTTCTCACCTCTGCAGTTGCCCCTAAACTCAGGGCCCCAGAGAAGTTCAGAGAGGCCTGGGTGACTTCCATCTCCTGACCTCCAAGTACAAGAAGACACAAAGACATGCCAGCCTAGGGTTACAGAAGTTAAGGGCTATTTCAAATGATTATGTATAACAACCTCTTCTTGTCCCGTTAGCGTCTGTGACCAAGGGCACGGCCTCATTGGCAGAGAATAGCAAAAATATAAAGTTGAGGCTTCTTATAGATGTATGTGGCCCTGACCTTCATACCTCCACCCCTTGATGGGAACTGGCTCATCATGAGCCTGTCATTTCATCAGTCACATGCCCCAACACATCTAGGCAGAGCCCTCTCTTGCTGTCACAGATGTCTCCTTTCACATGTTTTCCTCCTCTTGCTCTTCATAGCTTACATATCCGGTGAGCCCTGCTGCTTTCTGAGTCCTTTTTCTTCTGCATAATACTCAGTCTCCTTCTCTAAAACTACATTTAAGGACCATAAGTAGGAACAGAAGTTAAGTGGGACCCCGAGGCCTCTGGGTCCCCTGGTGTTTTCCAGTTTTTGACCCATATTGCCGCTATTCACTGCTGCTGAACCACAGCCATTTATGTGGACTCTTTCCTCCAGCTGGTTTCTGTACTGAAAGAAATGAGTTATCTTCAACTGAGGCAGATGAAGCACATCCCTGAAACAGCAGCAGCCATGTTCTCCTCCAGGGAGTTCTATCGGCAGCTTGTGGCACGTTTGGAGTTGATGGCAAATTGGTACAACAAGGTGATGAAAACGCTGCTGGAGGTGGAATTTCCATTAGTGGAGAAAGAGCTGCAAAATATTGATCTCCGCCTGAGAGCCGCAGAGGAGACTCTGAACTGGAAAACAGATGGTAACTGGGCACCACCTGGGCTCTGGGGAAAAGGCTGAGAGTTAAGATTCCAATTAAAGCTGGCAGACACTCAAATGATTAGTTGGTAATCTGGGTTGTTTTTAAAAATGAATGTATCCTCTCAGACACAGGGCCAAGAAGGGTTGCTATTTTTCTTCTTCCTTTTCTTTGGATTTAATTAGTATATTTAGAAAACTTTGCTGCCGCACACTGGGGGAGGCTCAGAGGCTGCACGGGATCTCCCACAGTCTCCAGCATGTTCTGGGCACCCCATTAATGAGGGCTTTCACTATATTATCATTGTTACTTGTGTTCTCCAATTTGATTCAATGAACTTTCACCTGGGGGGACTGTAGGGAGAATATGAGACATGAGGTGTATGGGAATGGCCCCTACCCAGAAGGAGCTCACATTTAGTGGGGACAACAGACATATGTACAACATAAATTATGTAAGACAAGTTCTGATAAAAAGCCTTCAGAGAGGTAAAAATAAAGTGTGGTAAACCACAGGGAAGGGAGATTAATTTGCATTAGTGTCCTCAAAAGAGTTAAAGTTTGAAAAGAATGTCACAGTCAACTCACGGAAGTCTTGGGATACCATATGAAAAAGTTAGAACTTTATTCCTTATAAAAAAGAAATGACATTTTCAACACTTACCGCAGTGAAGGTGCTTAAACAGGAAGGTTCATTAATCTCTGTAAGGTCACCAAGTAGCACTGGTGTGCCCCAGCAAGTGCACCAACTTTTGTGTGTCCGGTAGGTAAGGATCACCTGTTTGCTTCTTTTCCTCCATGAGCAGAATTTTAGTAAGAGTTGGCTTTTTAATACAACTAGAAAGAAAAAAGCTGATTATAATGAAGTAACCTGTGCAGAAAAGTGTTTTATAAAACCCATGAGTGTTGAATCCCTACCTTTCACAGCAACTAGACGTTCAGTTGTGCCACTGTCAGCTGTTTCAATTAATTATGTCTCTTTTGGGGAGCAGGCATTTGGGATTATGTCGTTGAAATGACCGATAGTATTCATGATCTTGAACAAAGGATTCAGAAAACCAAAGGCAATGTGAAAGAGATCCAAAACATCATGAAAACATGGGTGTCTCCATTATTTAAGAGGAAAGATGGAAGAAAGGAATGCCTTCTTTCCATGGATGACCAGCAAGATCGAATGGAAAAATACTACAGTTATATCAGAGACTCTGGCCTGAAGATCCACACTCTTGTTCAGGTAATAAGCAGCCTCCCAGACATGCCTACCACAAATGTCATGCATTGAGAAGTGTGGTTGGGTGCCAGAAGTGATTTGGAAATTACAATAATAGGTACTGTGTCTTCTGCTGTCACGGATAAAGGTTTATACTGATAGCATTGTGGTAGCAGGGTGTCAAAATTAACCCTCTCTTAATGGCCACTTAGTCATCACATGGTTTAAGACCCATACCAAAGCCCAAGGGAATAAAAGGAGAAGTCAGGGACAGAATCCTAAATTATCTATTGCATTAACTACCCCTAACTCACCCATACAACCCAGTGTGGAACTCCAGCATCATCTTCATAACCTAGCTTTGTAGAGCTGAAAGAGATGGTATCCCTAACTGCATTTGACAAAGAGAAACAAACAAATGCAGAGTGTAGCACTTAGTGCAGTAAGGTTTTGCCCTGCACTGTGATCAAGGCAACCTCCTATCCCGTCCTCAGAGACTGAACAGTGGAAAAGAGATGGAAGTGGCCACCCGTGCCAATGCTGCTGAAGCAGCCACAGAGCAGTTCTGAGGGGCTGAGCTCAGGCACCAAGTCAGTGATGAATTACAGCTGCTGTTTTGGGTTATCAATGATTTGAAGTACAATGGATCATGCTTTTGACTTTGTTAATTTTCCTGATTTTGTTTTCTAGTCATTAACTTCTGTTCTTTATTATTTCTTTCTAGTTCATTTGGGGGTAATTTACTCATCTTTGTTTTTCTAGCTTATAAGGGTAAACATTAGGGCATTATTTTAAGGCTTTCTTCCTTTCTAATACAAGCATTTGACTACATAAATTTCCCTCTGAGCAGTGCTTTACTTGCATTCCAAAAATTTGATCTGCCTCATTTTCATTTCATTCTGTTTTAATTTTTTTCTGGTGATCTCTTTAACTTGATCATTTAGAATGATCATTCTAAATTATCATTATAAATTAAACATGTAGAAATATGTTTAATTTCTACATATTTGGGGTACCTCTGGATATCTCAATGAAATTTATCTAATCTAGAATCTAATCTAATTCCACTGTGGCTTAGAGAAAATACTCTGGAAGATTTCAATCAGTTGGAATTTAGTGAGACTTGTTCCATGATCTAGAATATTGTTTATCTTATTGAATGTGTCTTGTGCACTTGACAACATGTTTATTTTTCTATTGCTGGGTACAGCATTCCATAATATCAATTAGTTCAAAGTGGTTGGTAGTATTGTTCATATCTTCTGTACGATTTTTGATTTTTTGTCTACCAATTACTGAAGGTAGAGTGTTAAATCACATATAATTTTTAATTTGTCTATTTAATTGTTTAGTTCTGTCATATTTTTCATCAAGTGTTTAAGCTCTATTAGTAGGTGCAAACAAATTTATAATTATTATAACTTCCTGATAAGTTTGTTGTTTTATCATGAAATTCCCTTTTTATTTCCAATAATACCCCCTTGCCTTGAAGTCATTTTTTTTTGGTAATACTGTAATCTTTCCTTCCAGATTCACTATTTTTACTTTTTGCATTGGCCATCCTTTTCTACCCCTTTACATTCAAACTATGTGTTCTTTCAAGTTCAAATTCAGGTTCACACAATAGAAACTTACTCTTCTAAGTCTAATAACTCTGCCTATTAATTGGAGTGTTTAAACTTACATTTAATGTAGTTATTGGTATGGATGGATTTAGCTCTACCATTTTGCTATTTGTTTCCTTATTTGCTTTATCTCTTTTTTTGTTTCTCTGCTATTTCTTACCCACCTTCTTATTATCCATGGTATATTTTTAGTACTCTACTCTAGTTTCTCAATTGGAATTTCATATTTACCTTGTTGCATTACATTTGTGGAGGTTATCTAGGTTTCAGTATGTCTCTTGAACTAATCACAATTGACTTAGAGTTCTTCCATGAAATATAGGAACATGTATATATGTAAAACACACCTCACAATAGAGCATTATAATAATTTTTGCTTTAAAAACTCAGGAAAATAGATTTACCCACAAACTCACTATTTCCACACTTGTTCTTCCTTTTTGCAGAAATGAGCTACCATCTTGCTGTTTAGCTCTGCTAATGACACATTCTCTCAGTTTCTGTTTATCTGAAAATGTTCTTATTTTGCCTTTGTTTTTGAAGCATAGTTTCACTGGATATAGAATTCTAAGTAGGCAATTTTGTTTTTCTTTCAGAAGTCATTTTATTATCTTCTCTCCCCCAATGTTTCTGATCAGAAGCCAGCCATAATTTGTATCTTTGTTCCTCTATATGTATTGTATTTTTTCGATCAGGAATTTTTTCTAGAGTCTTTTTAAATTTTTGTATTTTTCCCATTTGACTATGATGTGCCTAGATAGGTTTTCTTTATATTCATCTTGCTTAGAGACTGAGCTTCTTGAATTTTTCACCAAATTTGAGGAGTTTTTAATTAAATTATGACATTGCTAATTCAAACATCTATTTTATTTTTCTGTCTTTTAAAAATTGCAGCAGAAATTTATTTTTCTTTCTCATACAATAATTCTAAGAAGTTGGCATTCCAGGATTGCTGTGGCAGCTATTTTCTGAGTTTTCTCTAGTGATTTTCTCTCTTAGTTAAATGTCACATTTTCCTGCTTCTTTGCACATTTAGTAATTTTTTATTATGTTCTAGTCATGTTGGGTACCACTTTAGAATCCAGGTGTTATTTCCCTTGAAGAGTCTGTTTCTCTTTTGGCAGGAAGTTAACTTACTGGTGGGTCATCTTGATCCTGTTGAAGCTCAAGTTTAAGCTTTGTTAGGGAAGGTCTAAAGAAGCCTTACTCTAGAACAGAGCAGCTCTAATCTTAAAGCACAGAATTTCTGAGGTCTCTACTGAATTCCTGGTTACCTGTGAGGTCTTTTCATCATTTCTGATAGAATGCAAACATCTTCCAGTACTTTGTAACCAACACAATCTCCATTCAGCTTAGATCTCCAGTAACTGTTCTCTGCCAGGACTTGCAGAGTCTTGCCCTAAACGTGTACGGGTTAATTCTCAGACTCAAGAGGACTCAGCAGTGTAAACAGCCCCAAACCCCAGTTTCTTTTTTTTGTCTGCCCAGCAGGAAGGACACTGTAGTTAAGATCCACTTTCCTCTGTCATGTGTTAGAAAGTAGTTCTAGGTAAAGCCAGGTGGTTGTGCAGCTCACCTTGAGAATTCCCTCTTCCCAAGGATCATATCCCTTTACTGCCTGTTATCCAGTTACCTAAAACAATTGTTTCTTGTATTGCATCCAGTTCGATAGCTGTTTGTAGCAGAAGGAGAAGACTGATGTCATTTGTCTGTATTGTCTAGGATCAGAAACTTGAGCTACATCTTTTTAGTCTGTAGTAGATTTGAGATAGAGAGGTTAAAAGTACAGATAGCTATATTGATTGCATGACATTTGGAAGGAGAAAGAACAACTATACAAAGCAGTCATAAAAACTAAAAGTTTTAAAACATAGAAGCAAACATACACATCTTAATAATACCCAAAAGCAATGCTATATTGTCACTGTGTTATGATTTGTGTGCTGATGAACTTTAAGTCATTAAGAAAATCTTAAATGTACTTAGGAAGGAAAAGTATAGGTAGTGCATGTTAGAAATTTTAGAGTTTGGTACTCGAAGACAAGATCTTGAGATTTTTTTTTAATTCAGGGAGATTTACTACATGAGATGTTTGTAAAGTGGTGTGAGTCAGCTAACTTTCATTGAAGATACAAGATAAATGGAAAGTTTGCTGTAAAAAGGCTTAATAATGAAGATGATGAAGAGCACTTGCCATACCAGCAGGAGAGAGAGAAAGAGAAAGAGAAAGAGAAAGAGAAAGAGAAAGAGGAGAGGACATGTATTTTTTTTTACATATAAACATTTTCTAAATCACTCAGTATGATGAAAGTTTTTAGTTAACATTAAATGCCAATAGCACAACACTCCAGCTCATTTATAAGGATTATCCAGGAAATGCTTTACTTGTTAGAACCCCAAATTCTTATAGTTTCTTGAATCATAATACCTTCTACTCTCAGACTTCCAGCCTGACATCTGCTTCGGCACAGCTTCTTCACAGCACATCGGTCAGCATTTACGATGCACACACTGCATGCAGCAGCATCCCTGCTGAGAAGGAGGCCAGAGCCAGCCCTCCTTCCCCAGAGACAGGATGAGGCACCATCCTCCCTTTATATGTTACCTTTATGTTCCTTTCAATCAGTGGTGATTCCCATAAGATAGAATGGATTTGATAAGCGTATAATAGCAATTCTTCACAGGAATGGTTTTTTCCCACATGTTATTTATAGTCCCATTAATGATAATCAGAACTACCTTATTATTAAACAGGGTTTACATCACTTCTTTATTTTTAGGAAAACCTGGGTCTTTTTTCAGCAGACCCAGCCTCCAATATCTGGAAGACATACATTAACTACATCGATGATATGCTACAGGATGGATTCTTTCTCGCCATTGAGTGCTCCCTCCAGTACCTCCTGGAAAACACTGGTATTCACTGGCTTATGCATGTGGGTTATTAAACGGATGGTAACAGTAATGGCATCTGTTGAGTTACAGTGAAGTGCAGTCGAGTGTTTGTGACTTTTCCCAAAAAGATGGTGAACATTTTGTGAATTATACACAGTAGTATAGTAAAGGTATTGAGTTTCTAAACTGTTCAAACAGAAGAGACTTTGGTTGTTCCAAAACTCAGATGATAGACCAGGTTCTAAGACAGTGAATTCAAAAGCGAAAACGTAAAAGCTTATTCAATGTAAATCAAGCTTCAGTAAAGAGGAGCAACTAAGCTAGAATACCCAGAAGCACAATTAGTAAAGACAGCTTCAGCTGGACTTGACTTGTGGTGATGGGAGTGGGACAGTCTCTGCCTTTGAGCTTACTATACTCTATCTCTGTAGCTTTGAGAACTCAGAGAGGTTGTAGTAGCCAGGTTAACTGGAAGAAGTTTTTCTCTGTGAAAAAGGATCAGAGAAGAGGCCAGGAATGAAGTAGCTTTCAGAATGAAAAGGAATGTTAAGAAGAAGGTAATGGCACTCTTTGAATGTTAAACAATAGCTAAGGGCTTTGGATTTATGGTGGCTACACTGGGTTAAGGTGCAGAGAATCAAATATATTATAGTAAGAGCTAACCTCAGCTAGTAAGGAGTGGGATGGAAAGGGCAGAAGAGGTCAGGAATAAAGTTGAATTAAACCTTTCCACATCTGGTAGATTCTGAGGAGCTCAGCAAAGGTCATATGGAAGAATTCACCAATGGAAAGGCAGAGGTGAATATTTTGAAGGCAGAAGATGAAGGTGAGATGAGACTTTAAGATATCAAGTCCAACCCAAGGAAAGAAATCAAAAGCAGAGTTAAAATAGGCAGGCCAAGATCCGTGTCCAGGCATCCCACCCATGCAGAAGGGCACAAGCAGACCCTTAGGCTGAGCTGGAGAGGAGCAAGGCCCAGTTTGGGTGGAACTCAGATGGGCAATGGACCCATGGTGTAGAGGCTGAGGTCAAAGGCAAGGTGTTTGCTGGCAGGGTGCAGGGGTTCCCCAAATCAACAAAATCCAACAGCAGGCAACAGGGGCACCAGCACAGTCAACCAGCAAGGTCACCTTCAAGATCCTGGGGTCAAGCCACCATGAGGCAAATGACACAGACACTGAGACTGGAGAGCTGGTTCCCAGTGGCCAGGCCCCTCAGTGCCCACCTAGGTGAACAGACCAACCTCCTTTGATGTTGGAGGTTTGGAATTTCTGGTCTCTCGTTCCTCCTTCAAGATCTAGAAAGATGCCTCAGCCACACCATATGCAGGCAGTGCTCAAGATATTGTCCCTAAATGCAGTGACTCACCTTTGACCAATTACACCCTTGACCTGCACTGTCTGATGTGGCAGGTTGTCTTCCTCTTGTGGGAAGGAGAGAGTGGGAACAAGAGGATGGAGAGAGGAGATGGTAGTATTTTTCTGAGATTGCCAAAGCTACCTTTTCTCCATGGAAATGTGAAGAAAGGGGTACATGCTTTCTTCATACTGTAAGATGGGCAGGAGCTAGAATTAGCAGCTGCCTGAACTGAGGAGCTACAGATAAAATGGAAAAGGCACTGGTGAAGGTGAAGGAGCCTAAAGAGAGTGGCCTCTAAGAAGAAGAAAATCGTTGTGACCTTTTGCAGTAGCCAGCTGGGCAATTTTATTACTCTGATCCACCTTACTATTTCTACCTTCTTTTGTTCGGTCAAGCAAACACCATTCCTATACTTTGGTCTGGCCTCCCAGAAAATTAATTGACTGCAGCCCTGCTGAGGCTAAATTCTACTCACTCTCCAGAAGTCTTCTTCTCCTTCTTAACTGCTAAAGTGATTTACTTGCATCAAGGTTGTGAAGCCACCAGGACCACCTGGTTTGTATGGTCATTATGCTGGCATTGCATCTAACATAGAGATTGGGTTCTCATGATAGTATATGGGGTAAAACTCTCATAGAGTCAAAATAACCTTGAAAGTCTTGTAAATCCTTTAAACTATGTGCAACCTTGCCTACTAAATTAGAAGCATCTAATGCATGCAGGAATGCAGAATATATCATGAGCACATAGGCAAAGCATAATCTTAAAAGGTTTTTAAAAAAACTGTTCTACAATAATAGTATAGTTACTATGATATTGGTAAACTTACATTCCCTTAAGTTAAATATGCATTTTATGGGACACTCCTGAGTCCAATAATTCATGTTTATTATTCCAAAGCTTTGAGGGCCAGAGTTTAGTTTTACATATCTCTGAGGAGCCCTCAGGTTTTGTTATTGTTGTTGTTGTCAGGGAGAATGATAACAAAACTCCATTGATAATGCAGCTTAAAGGGCAAACAAGTTTATGCCCCACGCACTAGCCCGAAGCAAGTGCTCCAGGTTAGAGAGCAGGTCCCTTCCATCCCAAGGTTCCACCACCCACCAGGGCTTGGTGTTTGTTCTCTGTTTTAGGTGGGTCACCGGCCTGGGGGAGGGGACAGCAGGCTCATCTGCTGCCTCCAAGACCCTGGACCAGGAGTGGCACCATCACTTCTCCCCACAGCCTGCTGGTGAGGGACCCACATGGCCACACCTCACTGCAAGCTGGGAAATGCCATGTGCACACTTACAGCTCTAGTTCTGGGAAAAGGGGCCAATATTGCTCAATTCCAATGAGTAGTCCCCACCACCCACAGTATCCAGCACATAACAGTCTCCTAAATATTCCTACCACCAAAAAGATGTAGGAAAATAGGTGGTTATTGATAAAAGTTTTGGCATTTTTCTTGTACTTGGAATATCTTACTCCATGTTATATTTTGATTTAAATTTAGCAAGATGAGTTGTCTAGCAAGTTATCAGGAGTTTTAAAATTACTTACACTGTTTTAAAATTTTTTATCACTATGGGATTACAGAATTAAAATAAGTTCTGTTTTTATAGACAGGAAGTAGAACAGGCAGAACTGTAACATTGCGTTTCATACTTGTGCAACGGTGACAGACCCCTTGGCCCCCTACTGGCTGCCAGTAGTATTGCCTAGTCTGTGCCTAGGAAGAAATGAGCTGCTTCCAAAAAATTGGCTTTGCAAAATCTACCCCTTCTCAACCAGAGTCTCTACTGCCACCCAGGAGGCATTTGGGAACGTGGAAGGAGACAGGCTTCAGCTGATCGGTCACTAGAATACGCTCTCTGAAGACAAGGAGAGGAACTGTTCTGCAGCACCCAGGACAGCCCCTCATCAAACTTAAACTTGGCAGGTTCAAAACGTCAGCTTCCCCTGCTGATGAACACTGTAAGACTAAGACCCTCCTGTTTTGGATGTTAGCAAAGTTTACCTTTCCATTTTCTATACTGAGAAGCTCATTTAAAGGAAAGAAATGCTCTCTGTGTTTTTAAAATGGTACTTCTCTTTGCCCATTTTACCTATTTTCCTTTTTTTTCCCCTTGTTTTCCAGAATGTAAGCCAGGACTCAACCCAATATTTGAAGCACAGCTGAGCTTAGCAATCCCAGAATTAGTTTTCTCTCCATCTCTGGAGTCTGGACTGAAGGGAAGCTTCTATGACATGGTTGAGGGTCTCGTCACCAGCATTTTTAGAATAGCATCTTTAGTGCCACGGCTTTCCCCACAAAACAGCGCTCCCCACTATCAGGTACTGGATCTGCAGCCACCCCACCTTCCAGCCAGACCTGGAACTCACTGCAGAGTGCTGGTGTGACCTGCCTGCTCTTGTCTTGCTCCCCAGATTGACATGGAGGCTGTGGATGACTTGGCAAGGATGCGGAGCACACTCATGGACAGAGTTCAGGGCATGATGGCCCTCTGCTGCAGCTACCGAAACACCTTCAGCCAGTACTCCTACCTCTACGTGGAGGACCGGAAGGAGATTCTGGCCCAGTTTCTGTTGTATGGGCATGTCCTCACACCTGAAGAGATTGAAGCCCATGAAGAAGATGGCATCCCAGAGAACCCGCCCCTCCTCCACCAGTTTAAAGCACAGATTGACTCCTATGAAAAGCTCTATGAAGATGTGTGCAGGCTGGAGCCCATCAAGGTGTTTGACTGCTGGATGAGGATTGATGTGCGACCCTTTAAAGCATCTCTGCTGAATCTAATTAAGAGGTGGAGCCTCCTGTTCAAACAGCACCTTGTTGACTATGTCACCAACAGGTAATACAGAGGTCTCCTTGGCTTTCTTCTAGCATCCCAGGCTGTCTGGAGTGTTATATTGTTAACTTGCCTTCATATATTTGCCCATGGGCTCATTGGTTAAGTGAATTAAAACAGCCAGTTGAAGGTTCTAGGCTTTTGGACACCCATGGTAATGTTCGTCCTGCCCTTTCCTTTGTTCACTAGATGTGGCCTGTTTTTGTTTTATTTTCCATTTGGTGCCCAGTGTGTGAGAGGCACTCAGTAAGTGGTAAATAATGTTCAGTGCAACAACAGCAGATCCAACCTTCCTTCCCAACTCTGGCTGTTAAATCTCTTTAAGTCTGAGAGGCAGAAGGGGGTTTCCCAGATTCTATTTCTACCACTTACTCCTGGGGTCAGATCATCCAGCTGTGCAATAGGTATCACTGAACCGACACACTCTGGGTGCCTGCCTAGGCCACTCTAGCCTTGTGACAGATTGGAGCTGAAATTCTATCTGTTCCATCGGGACCCAGACCTCTCAGCCTGGCACCAGGCCCTCCATACCAGAGCCTCACCCTGTAGGTGAATAATCACGTTGGAGAGCAGCCTCCCAGTCACTTCACACTAGCCTTGTCCCCACAGACCCACCACAGTCAGGGTCTCGACTCCCACGCCCTTTCCACAGAATCCTGCTGGGTGTCACCATCCCCTGTTCATCAATCAGCCTTTGGGGCCAGGTGATGCTATAGGGCACCTGGCCTGCCCCCTCCCTCATGTTTGATGTTGGTCTTGCTGAGTGCTGCAGCTGGCCTGCTCAGTGACCTAGAATGGAAACAGCCAAGCTGGAGATGTGTCTGTCTACAAACAGATTCAGAGACTTTGCAGGGGTGATGGTCCACCCCATGAAAAGCACAGGAAAGCAGTGTGAGATGTTTCAGACAGGGCTTTGTAGGTGTTAAGAAGAGGCCAGTTTTCCATGTTCAGAGAGGCAACAAGGGGAAGCTGTAGTGGGGATGGAGGGGGGACCGTGACAGCCCTGAAGGGATTAATGTTTGAGGGACAGCTGCCCTGTGATCCCTCTCCAGTAGTAAGTCTGGTGACCCAAGATCATGGGAGTGTTTTTTAAAATTTAGGTTTTATAATTATTTACGTATGGCAAGACCAACATGTAAGGACATCAGCATTGAAGAGACAATTTGTTAGACTCTTACACCCCAAAAGGACAGGGGCACTCCCCACGCAGTCAGGAGGAACAGGGGCAAGGGGGCACCATCGGGGAGAGCCCTTATGGAGGCTCCCATAGAAAAGAATGGGTGATCCAGGGTAAGCAGGTTTAGGATTGGCTAGTTTGAGTAATTTCAACAGTCTCTGGGCTGTCCTTAGCTACCTGGCACCTGGCCCTGGGGTGGTTGGGGGTGAGTGGGGGGCAGTGGCATGGCATGTGAGAGACAGTTAAGAGAAAGCAGCTGAGGGTATAGATCCTGAACTGATTGATTTGCACCTGCAAACTGTGATCAAAGGCGAGTCTTTTACAATCTCCAGAAATTGTCTCACCGGGGAGTGGCAGTTCCTCCAGGGTCAGCCAGGCCCCAGCTGTCAGACCATTAGGAACACGTGGTTGACGCAGGGCATCGTGACAGCAGCCACCACAAGTCTCATCAGGCAAGGCTTCACAGGCTCTAATGGCTGCTTTCACTGGATAAACCCACAGGGGAGCAGTTAGGAGATCTCTCTTCGTGTCCGTGAACCCCAATTTCCTCACCTCTGAAAGAAGATAGTATGACTGGATTTCTGTAAGGCGCCTTCCAGTTTTATTAGTTGGTGATTTCATAAACTACTTTGCTACACTTTAGGACAGTGAGCTGTGTTCTCAAGGATTAGGTAAAATAGACATAATTGGAACAATAAAAACCATTCATTACTGAGTGTCTGCCATGTGCCATGTAACTTTGTGATTTCCCCCTTACTGTGGTGGGTGTCAGGATTCACCCCACCTTGCCTTACAGCTTATGTACACTTCGTTTATTGTCACAAGTCCAACCCCTTTTTTATCATTTGTCTTCTTCAGCTGGGGCCACTCTGATACTGTGATTTATAATAACAAATATATATTTGGTCATTGTCCTCTTTTCTGGCACAGAGCTCCTAAGACCCTTTGAATTGTCAAAGTGATGGGACTGATAAAGGTATATTTTGTTATATTAATGAGGTGACTTTTGGATCCCACCTGAGGAAGGGGTCTGGTTGCCAGGAGAGCCAACTATGTGATTAGAGAGTTGGAACTTTCAGATGCACCTCCGACCTCTGGGGACAGGAAGGGGCTGGAGATGGAATCAATCACCAATGGCCAAAGATCTAATCAATTATGCCTCTATAACAAAACCTTCATCAAAACCCAAAATGACAGGGATTGGAGAGCTTGCATGTTGATGAACATGTAGCGATTTGGGGAAAGCAGTGGGCTCAGAAAGGGTGTGGAGCTCCGTGTCCTTTCTCCATGCCTAGCCCTGTGCACCTCTTCTACCTGGCTGTTCCTGAGTTATATTCTTTTATAATAAAACAGTAATCTAGTAAGCAAACAGGCTCTCTGAGTTCTGGGAGCTGCTTTCACAAATTAATTGAGCCCAAGGGGGAGGTTGTTGATACCTCTGATCTATGACTGGTCAGTCAGAGGTACAAGTGGTAAGTAGAATTATGATTGGTGTTTGAAGGGAGTGGGGCCGTCATATAGGACTGAGCTCTTAACCTGTGGAATCGATGCTGTCTCCAGGGACATAGTCTCAGAGTTGATTTGAATCATGGGACAAATGGCTGGTGTTGGTGGTGTGAGAAACCTGCCCCCACCCTCACACTGCATGTACACATTGGAATTGGCACTAGAATTCTAATAGCTGCCATAAAAAGTAGCATACACAGGATGGCCTAAACCACAGAAATTTATTTCTCACAATTTTGGAGGCTAGGGAGTCCATGATCAATATGTCAGCCCATATGATTCCTGGTGCAAGTATCTTTCTGGCTTGCAGGCAGTTGCCTTCTCACTGTATCCTCACATGGCCTTTCCTTGGTGTCTGGGGGCAGGAAGGAGAGAGACAGAGATATACACACAGAGACACACACACACACACACACACACACACAGAGAGAGAGAGAGAGAGAGAGAGAGAGAGAGAGAGTCTTCCTCCTTTTATAAGGCTACTAGTTCCCTATGAGGGTCCCACCCGCACTTCTTGGCCTCATCCAACCATAATTACCTCCTGAAGGGCCCACCTCCAAATCTCATCACATTGGAGGCTGGGGCTTCAATGTCTGAGTGTGTGGGCAATGCAAACATTCCATCCATAACATCATCTAAACTCAACTCCTATTCACCCCTTCATATCCTCATCTACCCCAACCCTACCCTGGCCCTTGCAGAGCCTTCCACCATGCCCTTCCTGTAGACCTCAGGGTCTTCTATCAGCAAATGCTCACAGTTCTCTTCACCTTTTCTTATCCTCTTTTTGCACTAACTGAAGCCCAGCCCTCTCCTAAAGACACTGCTTCCCTTGTATCCCTCCCAGATAGGGGCTGACTTTTCCCCTATACCCCTCTTACCACTGGTCTTGGACATAGGTAAGATATTCTTGCTCTTCAGTATTTCTTCCAAATCATTTCACCATCTCTTTTTTCAAAACCCTCAGCTCCACTGGAGCAAATTTTATCAGACAGTACGAACTCCCACTAGTCTGCATAAGGTCATCCTGCCCCATCACTGCGGATCTTACCATCTGGCTCAGTCCCTTTCCCCACCCTTCGGCTGATAATCATCCTCAGTGATGCAATCTCCACATAGTCTCCATCACACCTTCCTTTTGTTTTGTTTTGACCTCTCTCTCCAGTGCCCTTTCCTTCCATCATGCTTCTGCTACCTAATTCTGTCTTGCACTCTTGGTGGGGCAAGAGGAAACATGTGGAAGTAATTGTTCTCCCTTCAAAATCTCAGGTTTGACCATTCCATTCTCTACCACCAGCTGGTATCATTCCAGCTGAATTACTTGGTAATGCTGCCATGAAAAGTTCTTCAGACCCATCAGGATTTCCAACTCATTGGCCCTTATGCTTTCTCAGTGTTTATTATCCTTGCTCACCATTCCCACTCCCACCTTGTAAAACCCTGACTCTGTCTAAAGTCAGTGCTCCACACCTGCACCTGAGTGATTCATAGTTGATGAAAAAAATGAACAAACCAGTCTTCTGCAAAATCTCATGTATAAACTTAACATTCAAGTAGATCCTACACATTTTCATAGATGTTTACAAATTCTCTCAGACTTCCTTTTCCTCTTTCTCTTTAAACCTCGAACATCCTCTTTACCCTTATAACTTTGTCTCTCATTCACAGAAAAATTAGAAGCAATCATGAGAAAACTAACTCCCCTTTCAACCCAAAATTAACCATCCTACTTGCATTTGCAACCATACTTTCCATGACCTCAACTGTTCCAGTAGATAAACTCTCCCCACTTTTCTAAGTCTGACTTCTCTCTCATCTGCTCAAGGACCTACCTCCTTAAACATTCCCTCCCAGTTCTCAACAGTGTGCAAATGTATTGTCAGAGTTGCCACCTTAAAAGAAAGAGAGAGAGAGAGAGAGAGAGAGAGAGAAAGAAGGAAAGAAAATGGAAGGGAAGGGAAGGGAAGGGAAGGGAAGGGAAGGGAAGGGAAGGGAAGTAGGGGAGGGGAGGGAAGGGGAGGGAAGTAGGGGAGGGGAGGGAAGTAGGGGAGGGGAGGGGAGGGGAGGGGAAGGGGAAGGGGAAGGGGAAGGGGAAGGGGAAGGGGAAGGACATGGCCCCAAAAGTCTTTCTGGCTGCAACACAATATAGATGTCTCCGTATCTGATTCTTTCATCCATTGTCTCTATGAACAGTTTTATCATGAACTGTCTCATGCATACAATTTAGGGAAAAATATTACAATGAATACTTGTATTTGCCTTATCCAGCTAAGAAACAGAACATTGGCTGTATTTTAAAATTTTCTTATGTACTTCTCCC